TAATGAATGAGGCACTATGCAGAAAAGGAAACTGAAGAATCCATTTCTGTTTGCACTGACTTAACACTTTAAAGATCACAAGAAAAATGACCTATCCTTTTTTTAAGAACCCAGCCCTACCCATATCAGTAGAATTACAAAGATGCAGAAGATGCAGCTTCTTTTACAACTTGACTTGCTGGAACAATAGTGAAATTATTCCATACCTTATTACCATGATGACTTGTGTTTATGATGCCTGTGCTTTTTGTGATGCTCATAATGGCTTCCAGAAGGATAGCAACCAGGTGGTAGTGGTTGCATCCAGATTTCCCAGGGAATATTTCAGGTGTTATATGATGTCCATAGTGAGGTGCTGTATGAAAAGGAGGCCCATGTGGCCCAGGAAATCACAGGGTGCATGTGTCTGACCAGCGTAACCTGGTGTTGGGGATGGCTATATGCTTGGTTTAGGGTATGACCGAGGAGCAGTTGGGTAAGGCTGCTGAAGCAGGATCTTACCAGGCATTCCTGATAGAGAGCAAAATGAAGGTAGAGTTTATACAGGCACATAGACTTGCCTTCTTCCTCTTAGCAGACCTGCAAGGTTAAATCATTCATTGACCCTAATAAATTCCATCCCTGTGTAACTACGAAGTTTGTGATCATCTGCATCAAAAGAAAATTCCTCTGATCTAGTTCATTATACTTACCTAATATAGAGCTACAAAGGATATACAACCATGCATCCTTTACCACGGGGGTCCCCAAGTCCAGGCTGTGGACTGGTACCAGTCCATGGCCTGTTAGGAACTGGGCTGCACAGCAGGAGGTGAGCAGCAGGCAAGATTCAGAGTTCAAACGTTAAATTTAAAATGTCTTCAAAGTTCAAACAATGCTTCTAAGTTCAAACCACATGCACAGAGAAAAAAATGTGGTTGCTGCATAAATGTTATCAGTTGTGCGCCCAAGTAGTCTCTCGTCTCTTGTTGCATCTGTGCCATTTCACTGCATGCCTTTTCAATTCTTTTGAGTGCCTTCTTGATTGTTCTCAGTGCCTTTTAGGTGAGTGCCCTTTTCGATAGTTCTGAGTGCCTTTTAGTTGCCTGTCTTCCCAATTCTTCTCACTGCCTCCTCGATCCTTTTCAGTGCCTTTTAACTGCCCACCTTTCCACTCATTCTCACTGCCTTCTCAATCCTTTTCCGCTTTACCACTCCTCACTAAAAAAAAAAAAAAAAAAAATTGGACAGTAAATGCAATTTTCATTTTATTATACAGTACTGTACATATTTACATATTGTTTTCAAGTTTTAATAAATTTGCCATTTAATTGTGTTATTTTTATCTGTAATTATGAGTATTTATGGTTTAAGTTTATTGAGATGGGTATTGTTCAGGATCTGGGAATGAATTAATTCACTTTCCATTATTTCTAATGGAGAACATAGCTTTGGACTTCAAACGATTCAGAGTTCAACTGGCCTCCTGTGACAAATTAAGTTCGAAGTATGAGGCACCACTGTAATGTGCTTGAATCATCCCAAAACCATCCCTGCACCCCGGTCCATGGAAAAATTGTGTTCCACAAAACTGGCCCCTGTTGCCAAAATGGTTGGGGACCAATGCTTTACTGGATAATGTTTTCAGGTCAGCTTCAATGGTCTTTCTGCAGAAGGAGTCAGCACAATACAGGGTGCTTCAGACATGTCTTCATTGTGTTATCATATTGCCAGAATGTCGTGATGACCAGATGACATCTTCTGTTTTCACCTTCCTGTGTTTTCCCACCATTTCTTCCATCATTTTTAAACTCAATATCTGTTAAGGATGTAATCCAATGTCCCCCACCCTCAACACAGGTGAGCCTCCAAGCATGGAGTCCTACATGCATGCAGTGTATGGAGCAGGGTGTGGCGGTGAAGAACTCTGACACAGCCATATCTTGCACCAGCATTCCATCCACATTAAATGGCATGCATCTTTTCATTCTCAATTTATGACCTCAAAGAAGAAACTGCTGTGATTTTTTCCATGTCAAATCAGGGGCAGAGTGAACTTGATCTTCAGAATTCCAGCAAGTCACAGGGCCCCATAATGTGCTTGCAGATGATGTTGAGAGGCTCTAAGATTATGCACTAAAGAAGATAAAATGAAATTGATGCAAAAAGCCTTTGGATTGTTAATTCTAGGGCCCCTTCATCTAGAAGCACCAAGAGAAGAATAATTGTTGCAGGACTTTGGAAGTCACCCTGGTGGCACTCAACAGACAGAAAAATGTTTCTTTAAATGCATGGGATATCTGAAACAGCTTAGTTAATCACATTTTCCAAATGCAAAGAAAATCGGCATAATTGTAGCTCTCCAGATGTTTGTTTTTCAGCTCCCATCTGCCCTAACCAGAATGGCCAATGGTCCGAAATTGTAATTCAAAACATCTGGAGGGCACCATTTTGGGAAGGGTTGTTCCTGTTCATCAGTTTAAAAGAGATAGCATACAGAAAGTTTAAATGAGAGATGAGCTCTATAGTCTTGTGCAAGGATGGAATCGAGGGATTTAAAAAATAAAAAATCGAGTGCTTGGGGAATTCTGCTTATGCTCCTAAGGTTGCATCAACAGGACAGTAATTCCAACTGAGAAAATTTTTAAAATAAAAGAACTTGTATAAACAAACTGGTGAGAGTTACATAACTCTAAACGATCAGTTTTATTTATATAAGCAGAGATTTGCAAATATAAATAGATTAAATTACAAGCATGCTAAACAAATATAAAGAACTAATGCCAAAAACATTTCAGCCATATGCTGGCTTGCATGCACCAGAACTAAAACATCAGCTGGGACCCTCAGACCACTAGTTTTATGGCTTCTGTGTTCTCCCCAAGGTGGGTTCTAGGGGGTCCTAACCATCAGGAAATGCTTCCTGGCATTCACCTTGAATCTTGGTTCCCTGAGCTTTGCTCCATTGGAATACATCCTGCCCTCATCCACAGGGGAAAAAAGGTCACAACCCACCTCAGCATGACACCCCCTCACAGACCTATATGTTGCTAACAGATCCCCTCTGAGGCGCCTCTTCTCAAGGCTGAAAAGACCCAATTCCCCCAGTTTCTCCTCATATAGCTTCCCCTGCAAACCAGCCACCATCCTTGTGGCTGCACCAATTCCAACCTGGCTGTATCCCTCTTATGAAGAGGGAATGGAGCACCATACTCCAGATGTGGTTACACCAGAGTCATATAGAGTAGCAGCAGCTCCTCTTTAAATCTAGAAGCCGCTGTTCTGGCTAGGCATCCAAGGGTGGCATTCGCCCTCTTGACCACCCCGTCACACCGCTGACTCATGTTTAGCCTGCAGTCAACCAGCACCCCAAGATCCTTTTGACTAATGCTGCTCTCCAGCCAGAAAAGAGAGCTCTCAAATGCTCTGTCAATCATGCCCATTGGACTGATGCACTCATCAGTCCATCCCAAAACTCCTCAGTTTCTCAACCAGGATATCATGGGGCACTTTGTCAAAGGCCTTGCTGAAATCCAGGCAAACCACATCCACCGTGTCCCCTCCATGTAGCCACCTCAAAACCTTGTCATAGAATTCCACAAGCTTCATCTGGAAGGCCCTGTTTTTGAGGAAGTCATGTTGCATGTCCACCAACCTCCCTTCCCAATCTGGGGTTACTAGATCTCTTGCTAGTATGAGCCTTTCCATTGTCTTTCCTAGCCTTTCATTTCCCGTTTGACAGCAGCACTCTTACCCAGATAGAAGGGGCACCTTGCCAGTCCCGTGTACTGTGGGAAAGCAGTGGCCCAATGAAATGCCAGGTGGGAGAAGCAAGTGAGATGTGGGCCACTGTTTAGCTGTTCCTACAAGCAACATGGGTGCCAAATCGATTAATTTAACTTACAATTTATTCTATTCATAGTGAAGTTTATGAGATCACTGCTCATAAACTAGTAATGAAAGAAGCACTCTTCATTTAAGTGGATCCAGTGACTGGATTCGGTGATGGACTGGATGAAGGCCAATCAGCTGAGACTCAGTCCAGACAAGATGGAGGTGCTCTTGGTGGGTTGATTGTCTGCCCATTTGGGAAATGTTCAGCCTGTTCTGCACAGGGTCGCACTCTCCCTAAAAGACAAGTTTTGTAGATTGGGGGTGCTCCTGGTCGCAGATTTGTCACTTGCGTCACAAGTGGAGTCAGTGACTAGGAGCCCCTTTTATCAGCCTAGGCTGATTTACAAACTACAACCCTATCTAAACAGGCAGAGTCTGGCCACAGTTGTCCTTGTTCTGGTAAGCTCTTGCCTGGATTACTGTAATGTGCTCTGTGTGGGACTGTCTTTGAAAACAGTTCAGAAATTCCAATTGAGTCAGAACAGGGCAGCACAGCTACTAGCGGGGACTGGCTCACATGATCATATAACGCCAGTACTCTCAACTGCATTGGCCACCAGATGAAGTCCAGGCCCAATTCAAAGGGCCGGTGTTAACATTTGAAGCCATAAAACTTGGGGGCAAGTTATCTAAAGTAACACATGGCCCCATATGTTCCTACCTGACCGTTAAGATCATCTTTTGAGATGCTTCTAAGGGACCCACCCCCCCAAAGATGTAAGAGAGGTGGAAACCAAGAGAAGGGTCTTTTCAGTAGCAGCTATCTTTGGAATGTATTTCTTGAGGAGGAGCACCTGGTGCCATCATTGTTCTATTTTTTGCACCAGGTGAAAACCTTTTTATTTTCCAGTTTAGTTCCAGCTTAGTTTAATAGCTAAGATTTGTTTGGATTGTGTTTTTATTGCTGCTATACCATATATTAATTTTATTACAGAGTCTGTGGGTTGTTCATTTTTTGCTATATTGTTTTTATTTTCCATAGTTTATTTAAATGTGATTATATATTTTTATATGTTTTTAAATTTGTGAATAGCCCAGTCAGCCCATGAGCTTTCGGATGGTTTAGAAGTATAATAAATAAATACAAAAAGCCCATGGTATGGAACAGCATCAGAACAGCAGTTCTTTACAGCTTTATTTGATACTTGCTAATACAACTCCCACAAAAGAAGACTGTTGTGACTACATTCCACCAAAGGACCAGTATTATAATTACAATGCAAAAATAGGATGACCATATATAGGATCACTGCGACATAATACTGATAGTACATCAGCGCACAGATGCCTTTTATATAATGATCTGTTGTCAGATGAGCAATAGTTTCAAATTGTCCGCTTCTCCAGCTGCTCCAGCACAAATGCTGTACTTTTCTTGGCTTCTTCCAAGAAATGGGAGATTTTCCCATGCACCTGCACACAAAAGAAAAATTAAAATTGCACGCTTTAGTCCTGAGCCGGAACCAAGACGGCTCAAGCAGAAAGTCAGGCCAGGGTGCTGGGCAGTTGCTCCTTTCTCCACACAGACTGCAGCACCTGTGCTCAGCCTTGGACGGCTCGTGTCTGTGCAGACAGGAGGGGCAGGCTGTGTGACTTGGCCTCAGGCAAGCGGCACCTGGAAGCATTTTTCTTCTCCTGAAATCTCTATCAGTCCAATAGCTGAATATGCACTAAAAATGTATATTCATTTGCAGCCAGCTGGAGCCGGGGGGTCAGACTAGATAGCCTGGGAGACCAAAGCCAGCCAAAAGGTTCACATCCTTGAGAAGCAACCATGATAGATAGCACAGACTTTAAGGTGTTTCAGAGAACAAGTTGACACAGGTGGCTCAAGCAACTCAGTTGCCTTTTTGGGAAGGAGATCTTGGGGTAATTATGAATAAGAAGGATAGGCACAGCGCTTAGCAGCAGATTAAAATAGCTGGTGAAACAGTAAAGAATCTTAGAAGAGTAGAGTTGGAAGGGGCCATGAAGGCCATTGAGTCCAACCCCTGCTGTTGCGGAACATCACATTGCACCACCCTGCTCAGCCTTTATGGCACCATCAACCTGGCTCAGTCACAGAATTCCAAGGGAAATCCAGGTTGCATCTTCCACTCACAGCCACTATTCTGTCTTTTTGCTTATACGAGAAAGACTATTAAGGAAGAAAAGATGGAAGGGGTGCACCATGCCATTATATTAGCCCTGAGGCCCTTCACCTTGAGGTTCACTTAAATATAAGCAACATTTCTTACCTCTTGCTTAAAACCTTCATCTGTTATATCTTTCAGGTTGGTGACAACATTGAAATAAGCACCAAACACACCAGCTTCTAAAGCTTTAGCTGCCACCTGCATACATAGTATAAGGTGGAAATGTTAGACTACAACTTAAAACTCCTTTATCAGAAAAGCTTTCATTTCAAGCTATTGTAAACCACCACAATCAGCAAAAGTGGAGAGCATTCTAGTCTCATCACAGTAGCTCTTGAAAGTTACATTGAAAATAATGCAGGCTTTATCGTATCCAAGTTTATTTAGTTTTGCAATTACCTATTTTATGGTTTAGGGTTATCTGTGAAGACATGGCCTTTTTTTTTTTTCCTGGCCAGTAGTTTGGGAATGCTATCTTTTTTAGCAAACTAAAATGAAAAAATGATTTGAGAAAGCCAAGGAATTATAGTGATCTTGATCTACAACAGGCACTCTTTAATTGCAAAAGATAGCTCTAATTTAAAGCCCAATGGCTTCGTGTTTACTAAAAAATGTTGATAAGTGAACACATGCATCAATTTTAAAAAGTAACTATCTCACATTTCTAAGGCACTTTTTGCATGCAAAATGTTTTGCAATTCTTTTATCACCTACTTTCTCAGCTGTCTTATCTATTGGACTAGGAGATAACAATGTCATGCCCAAGGCCACCGGCTAACATCATGACTGAACAGGCCTTTTGATCCCATTTTTCACATTTAAGGTGTACACTCTTACACTATTGTGTCCTGTGCAGTCACACTGCCCTCTCTCTTAGTGCTTAATCTCCTTGTTTTGCATGTAACACCACAACTATTACTGCAAGTTCTGATTTTCTGCTCACTAGTTGAATTACACAACGCTTCAAAACATCTAAAGCTGACATTCCTTGCTAAGATGCTTCCACATGAGGGCTTTCTTGTCCCATCCCGCTGCTTCATTCATAGAATTTGCTGGCGGGGGGGTCCATTTTGATGAGGGGATTGTCTTCCACCTATAGAACTCTCATGTTTTCCCATCGCTCCTTACATCTGTTTCCATACCACTGGAAATCCATTATGAAGAAAAAGATGCACAACGCTCCATCTGAAAATACTCTTAACCTGTGCATCTCTAAAATACACAGTATACATATTCGTACCTGAATATCTGACTTGCAGGCTAAGTTTCCATGCTGAGCCATTCCTTTTAGAAAAGGCCACAAGGAGTCAACTTTTTCTGCCACAGAAAAGGGGATGCCAACTGCATTTTTCAGCTGTAGCTGCATGGCTACTGTTCTCCTGAAGTGAGAGAAAGATATCAAATCTGAGCACATGACACAAACCAGAAAATTATATCTAAAATTATATATATATAATATATACTAGACTTAAAATTACATCATAAAATGTACATGAGACATCTAAAGAAGCCACTTCTTTATCTTTTTCCCCAGCATTTTCCTCTTTGTCTTTCTGAATGATACAGAGCATAATTGCAAAGCTACCCTAGGCCTCTGTAGCGAATTATGATGCCACCAAGAAAAATTCCTGACCTTTTTCAATCTAAACTAGATAATCAAAAATGCTTGGAAAATCCAGGAGAGGCCCTAGAGGATAATAAGAAAACTTCTAGGAGGAATCAAGAGAGTACAATAAATACCTCTTGTAAAGAAGCCCACAGTAATTGGAGGTTACCCCCAGGAAGCAATATGGCTGAAGAAAAGACCTTGAAAGCTTTTAAGAAGATTCTGGACTTAAGTATGAAAGAATGGAAATAAGATAATTCTCAGGAATTGAATTGGATGAGAGAGCAGTTGAAAGATGATATTAATCAGATAAAAATTGAAGATCAGAAAGCTTTTACAAAAATGGTGATGGAGAAGAAATTCAAAGAAACAGAGGTGCTAGCTAAAGCTAATATATTGGATAGAATTTGCCATTCTGAAAAAATAACAAGAGTTGGAGAAAAAGGTGATTGATTTGTAGGACATATATTGTAAAAGGAATTTACAATTAAGAATCATACCAAAATGACCATCCGTGGAAGAAAAGCAAGTTAGAAGTGATGTGTTTGTATGGTTTAAAGAACTGATGCCAAATGAAAAATGGGAAGAGGACGATATAGAGAGAATACATCATGATGGCCTTCAACTCCAGGTTAGACTAATTCTGAGAGATGTATTGTTAAGATTCTTCTATAAGAAGGAAAATCTGATGAAAAAGTTGAGAAAAAATTAGGGTGAACTAAAGTTTAAGGATGCACCTGTTCAAGTGTTTCAAGATTTATGTTTCCAGACTATTTCATTGACATGTTTGTTGAAAAGATTTAAGATTATTTTGTTGAAGAACAATATTAAATGTACCTGGGTATACCCAGAGTATATGAGAGTCTGGCATAAAGGAAAATGTATAGAATGCAGTCGCTGGAACAAGGTTTAAAATTGGCGCGTGAATGGAGCCTTATAGATGAAGAGCAGTGCAAGAAAGAAACTGAAAAGATAAGCAAACTAGAAGACAAGATCAAGAAAGTCCTTCAAAAGAAGGAAATGGAGCAGTTAGGGAGTTTCTTCAATCTTGGCTACTGACTATGGAGAAGTGGATCTTGAGGCAGTTTGAAAGCTTCTCCAGGATGAAAAGGAAAAAAAGGAGAGGCAAGGGGAAGGGGTGGGGTCTTTCTCCAATTTAGACCATTTCATGAGTTGAAGAAAAGGTGTTTTATTTTATAGTTAGGAGGTAGAAGTCAATTTACACTCTACTTCATGTCTGGGGAAATTATTATATAAGGTTTAGTATATAAGATTAAATTATAAGTATTAGTTTATAAGTAAGATAGAAGAATCTATAAATAAGATAGAGTACTAACTCTGAATAAGCTAAATATGATTATTAGATGAATTTTGAATATTTGAAGTATAAATAGGAAAGATAGTATTGAGCATTTAAAGAGTTAAAGAATTAAAAATCTTTAAAAGGATTGGTTAAGATAAGGGGTATAGAGGCAATGGGAAGAAGATACTTGGAGTCATGCAGACTGGCACTTTCTGGAGAGGAGGAGATAGAAGATATTAACAAGTTAAAAGTCCTGGGATAGATGATTGAGGTCCAGAGTATTATAAAACTTTTAAGAAGATGTTGTTTCCAAAATTAAAATCTGTATTTAATAATATATAGGAAGGAGGAAAGATGCCAGTATCTTGGAAATACCTCTCAATAGTTTTAATTCTAAAACCCAACAAAGATTGGGCTGATCCCAGAGCCTGTAAGCCTATATCCTTGATTAACCAAGATGCAAAAAAAATTACAGCGATATTTGCAAAGTGAATGAATAATTTTATTGGTAATTATGTCAATGTGGATCAAAATGGTTTTATAATAGGCAGGCACATGGCAGATTTGACTAAAGAATATTAAATATAATTGAGAATATATACATATATATACGAAAATTTAAAAGTTAGTATTTAAAAGCATTAGATACTAGAAATGTAAAAGCATTAAATATTTGCAAAGCTTTTGACTGTGTGGAATGGCCAACAATAAAGATACTAATAGAGTCATTGGGATTGTTCCATGATTTTGAACTATGATAAATCAATTATACTCAGAAAACTTAGCAGTAGTCATAGTGAATGATAGTATAACATACCAAATATTCTTAGGCCAAGGTACTAGACAAGGTTGCCTTATTTCTTTGGTATTGTTTGCTTTATTTATAGAACTGCTAGCAAATAGTATTAGAAATGATAATTCAATAAATGGTATAGGATTTGAAAATTAAAATTAGCTTATTTGCAGATGATACATTATCAACAATAAAGGATCTATTAAGGTTTTGGATCAGATTAAAATACATTTAACAGAATTTGGAGAAATAATAGGTTTACAAGTAAACTGTAAAATTATTAAGTATTTAGTTGTTTATATTACAAAAAAGCAATGTTTAAAAGAGGATAATTTTGATATGAAGGAGAAAATGAATGAATTTAGAAAGTTTGATTTATCATGGTTTGTTAGAATAGCTGCATTTAAAATGAAGATTTTACCGAAGATTACTTTAACAGAGAAATATTTGAAAGAATGGCAAAGCATGATTAATAAATTTTGCAATTAATTAAAAAGGATGGTATATGTACCAGAGAAGAGAAGGTTTAGCTATATAATATATTTTATTATATAGCAAATCAAATGAGGCACATACCAGACATTATACTGAAGCCAGATAAGATACTATGGTGTAAATTAGAATATCAGGATGTAGAGGGATCCTTATTCAATATCTTTTTTCAACAAGATAATAAAAATATTATTAAAAAGATACGAAATCCCTTTTTTAAGAATATGGTCAAAACTTGGAACAGGGACATATTTATCCCATCAGTTTTGCCATTATATCCAATTATGAAGTTAGAAAGATTCCCAGAGAGTTTGAGGGATGTACTGAAGAGTAAACATGATATTAAGTTGAAAGACTAGATAGAGAAAATGAAGCGTAAAGAAATGCTACAAGCAATACTGGGACACGGTAAAATAACTTGCTATAATATACTTCAGTTAGCTCATTGGACTAGAGATTGATTGAAGAAAGATGGTAAATGTAGAGAAAATACTAAATTTGAAGACGTAATTTTACAGAAACTAAAACAAGATAATATGTGGATGGGACAAATGACAGGTAAAATTTACAACATGTTACTAGAAGGGAAGGACCAATATAATCCCCTTAAAGAGTCTTGGGAAATAGATTTAAAAAGAAATATTAGTACTGAAAAATGGAATAATATGTGGGATAAGAGCATTTTAAAAATGTATGTCAATAAGAATTAAAGATAATTTTTATAAATTAGTTTGGAAATGGAACTTAACTCTGGTTAAATTGAATTCTATGAATAATGAATATTCCAAAGTATGTTGAATATGCAACTGGAAAGTGGGTACATATTTCCATATGTGGTGTGAGTGCAAATATATAAATGAGTATTGGGAAGTGGTTTTCAAGGAATTAGTAAAATATTGAATTTAAACATTGAAGCAGACCCTGGATTAGCATTATTACAAGTGGGACAAAATACTAAAGAATTGATGACAAATTTATTAACAGCAGTAAGATTAATTATAGCAAGGAATTGGAAAATAAAAGGTGATTATCAAATAGATGACTGGTATAAACAAGTCTGGAATATAGCTATTAATGATAAATTTACCTGCAATATTAAATGGAAAATAAGGTTTGATAAGTAAAATAATGTTGAAAATATTTTGAGACCATTTATTGAACATGTCTTAATGTGAACCATCACAAGAGTCAATGCAATTTTGGAAGAGAAGTGGGAGTGGGGCAACCTGAATAAATAAATGCCCTTACATTAAGTAGTATGATTTGTTGGTCCTGGTGGAGGTAGCACTGTTCTTATTGTATTGTTTAGTTATGTTAATCAGTAGTGTTTAATTATGTTCATTACTATATTAAATTGAATTGCTTATGTAAGTTCAATTTTAAAAAAATAAAAAAATAAAGAAAGAAAACTGACTTAAATGTTTCATTGAAATAGTTGGACATGAGTCTGCACCCATTTCTCATTCTCCTTTCCTACAGACATACAATCCAACAATTTTTGTGGATATTTATTGTTATTATTTATTCATAATTTTATTTCTGCACCACCCAATAGCCAAACCTCATTAATCAAGGGCAACTTGAACACTTGGGCATAATAATAATGTACACTGAGACAGGCTTAAAATAAAGTATCTCTTCCAAGGAAAGGAATTTATGGGAGAGCTATAACAGAAAATTCCTAGAAAATGAATTCCATTCATTTCATTGAATAATGTCTCAGATTCTCCAGGAGAAACCACAGCAGTGATGATTGTATAAAAATGATCCGTTCCTTGTGCACATGTTGCTTTAGGCTGCAATGTCAAGCAACATCTTCATACATACCTCTCTTTTTCCTCAGGTGTGTTCCTAGGAAGCTTCATAGCATCCTGTTGAGAAGAAAGAGAACATTTAGTCAGTTATGCTCAGTGACTGACTCAGGCTAGGAGAGCAGTGCCCCATCCTATTATTATTTTAGGGGAGTGATATAGAATAACATTACTGTATTTTTCCAAGTCTGCAAGTCTCCGTAATTAAATGTTAACATAGTCACTGGTTTCACATGGCACAACAACCCATCATGGATTGCTATGTTGTGCGAACCCAGACTGCTTCTTGCAGGATGCCCGTTTGCAACGACAAGCCACCCTGCCAACCCATGGTGTGTTTTAGGGGTACAAGGAAATAGTGGGCAAGCCAACTGGCTACAGTTGCATCTCGACACAAGTTCATGTTGGCTCCCTCCAGAAGCAGCTAGCTCAACTGATGTCAGGGTGGTACCTCAATGCGATTGTCCCTGGCTCAGTGTCCCTGCTAAGATTGGGAGCCCTTCCCCCCCTTTTTTTCTTCTTTGCTTCAGCCCACCTACCTCCACCTCCTATTGACAGCCCATGACAGCCCCTCCCATGTGCTCAAGCATAGAAAAATTGACCCTGCTTGCAAAAAACCCAAAGATTTAGAAAGGGCCACAGCGAGCAAAAGGGGCTTGTGATCACAACAGACAGAGGAGGCAAGGCAGCTTTAATCATTATGTCTCCTGGGATACCAGCTGGAGGACTGGGGAGGGGGGGAAGGTGGGTGCAACCCACAGCAAGCCCAGTCCTTTTTCAGCTGCACCCCGGGTGGTTTTGTGATCAAACGACCCACCATTGGTTATTCTCTGGGTGGCTTAGCGTGATGTGTGAACATGACCACTGCCTTTCCGTCCAAACCAGAGAAAAGCAGAACAGGAAAGTTAAGTAAGGGAGAAAAGGAAAGAAGCAGGCATTCCACAGCACTTGTAAATCTCACTCACCATGTAAGTGCTGAAAGCTAAGGCATCTGTGTCCACCATGACTGCTAGTTCATTCATGGCCTGATGGAATGGAGGGATTAGGTGCCTCATAACTGAGTCTAGTTCCTCAAACTGACGCTTTCCATAGGTCATCAACCCCACCATGCAGCCCAGAGCTGCCCCCTGGAAGATCATCAAATTATAAGAGTAAATTGTACAGAATATGCACTGGGCTGAGTCCCAGAATGGCAGGATCCATTTGTGGAACATAGGAAGAAATATGTGGAAACAGAATTTCTTCTCCATCCCAGCAGCAGCCTCCATGATTAACAACTGCCTACTCACACATATTTAAGATGAGACAACATAGCTTCCAGCCAGACACGCAAGCCTAAATCTAGCCTAAACAGAGATCTCTTTTGAGATAGTAAGCTAATGAAAAGTCATTTCTGTACAGAATTTCTGAGTTTCATTTTCCAGATCTAATAAATGTCCAAAGCTACATACAAAGCTAAGTTAAGAATAAAAATTCATAATCAATACAAAACAAGGGAAGAACTAGTTAATAAACATCAATGACTGACAGGAGTCCATTTTACCACAAATAATCATATTAAAGGGCTTTCAGTAGCTGAGACAAGCCTGCATTTAACCTTCTCTGAGTGCAACTTACTCCTGAGTAAACATATATTAAGACCCTGCCAGTGGAGCTCAGGGTTCTTGCATTGTTAAGGAGGAATACTGTTTGTGAAAGCAGAATTTGGAATTCTTGTTCTAGAAGTCTGCAGAAGAACAAACACCCCAGCAGTCACTAGAGACAGCAGCTGCTTTTTCTTGCCACCAGCTTATGCTCCCCCATCTTCACAGGGACAAGGGCTTCATGTGTCATCACTATAAATCTCCTGCAAGTGGAGTCACAGGGAAGGACCATTTCGAGGTAATCCAAAGCCTGGGGATCTTTCCTTTCCACCTGAGCAAGAAACGAGGCTTTCTTTATGTAATGGATTTAATTCACTGCTTTAATGAGGCATCTTCTTCCATTTTCCTTGTGGGGAGAAAAACAGGTTCTTTTTCCCACTGGGTTTGTATTTCTTTGCCTTTCTATCAATCAACCACAATGTGGTGCTGTAATATAGCAAGGCTGTGACTCTTTACAAGGCTTGAAATTTAATACCTGATTTTCCTTGCTCTTTAAAAAAAAAAAAAAAGCAAGAAACACAGGAGAGGCCCTGAAGGATGATGAGTCCCTGCAATCGTCCCTTCGTAACGGATCACAAGTATCGAACAAATGCCTTGTGTAGAGAAGCCCCAGGAAAAGCAAAGTTTTGATTAGGGACATGGAGGCAAGAACGGCCATACCCTAGTGCAGTGGTGGCGAACCGATGGCACGTGTGCCGCAGTGGGCACCCAGAGCCCTCTGTGTCGGCACTCGAGCCAAGTCGCCCCAGCATCGCCCCAGCAGCCGAGCATCGGATAACAGTGCACACGGGGGCCATGCGCATGCTCGGAAAGGAGTAGTGGTGCCAGGCGATGATGTCACGAGCAGCGACTCATCTGAGCTTTCACATGGCCGGTCATTGCGCTGCCAAGGAGATACACACACACACACACACACACACACACACACACACACACAGGGCTTTTTTGTCATAGAACGCACCGGAACGGCGTTCTGGCACCTTTTTCTAATGGATTTTTCCCTGTGATTGTGAATCACTGTCGGGTGTAGCAGGTCGGCAGCAAAAAGCATTAAAATAGTGCTTGCGGGCTGCGTGTGTGTCCGCGCTGCTTGTGAGGGCGCTGCTCAGCTTGGGATCAGTTGTGTGGCCGCGCACTGAGTGCTTACTGCCAGCGGCAACCATTATGTTTATGTGTGTGTTGAGTGACTGACCCCAAGAGGTGAGTTCCGGCACCTTTTTTTTTTTTTTTTTACAAAAAAGTACTGTGTATATATATTTGCTTGGACTGGCTGTGAGGAGTTTTTTCTAAACTAAAACCTCAGTATCCAGGTTGTATAGCGTTGGCACTTTGCAATAAATAAGTGGGTTTTGGGTTGTAGTTTGGGCACTTGGTCTCTAAAAGGTTCGCCATCAGATTATATTTCCAGTACCAGCTATGTATCGTATCAATATACCATCAATGCAACTTACATTTGAATTCTAAATGACTTACTGGGTTTGAGGACTGCAAACGACTCACATGTGAAAACAGCAAACAAGACATAACAAAAAGAAATATGGTTTTTAGGGTGTCATGTTGAGGGCACTTTGTTTTATCTGAACAAACCAAGTGACTATACCAAAGATGATATTGTGGCTGATACTGATCCTCCTCCAGGAGCAGCTGATCTTGCACCAACTTTCTGCACGAATGTGTGAAGGGGCAACAATAACAGGTTTCCACTCTCTTTGCTCTCCTGTATCATGTTCCTTCAGAAGACAAAAGGAGACACATCAAATCACTTCCACCTGTCCAGTTTTTTATTTTTATTTTATTTATTTTTCGATTTATATCCTGCCTTTTTCCTACAAAGGGCTCAAGGCAGCTTACATTTCCTCCTCCATCTTATCCCCACAACAACAACCTTGTGAGGTAGGTTGGGCTGAGAGTCTGTGACTGCCCCAAAGTCACCCAGTCGGCTCCATGGCTGAGCGGGGACTAGAACCCAGATTGTCTGAGTCCCAGTCCCACGCTCTTAACCACTACACCGCACTGCCTCTCCACATTCAGTTGTCAGTGTCAATGTAGTTAAACTTCAGGTAATGGAGGATGAATGCACAGCTGCCGCTCTGTTGTGAGTGGGACAATACCTTCTTTAAACAGAGAGAATCTAATCTAATTTCCAAACTAATCTAATTTCATTTTTTGCCTGGGTAACCTCCCCAATGGACTGTGGAAATGCTGTGGACATACTCCATCTTGACTTTAGCAAAGCTTTTGACAAAGTTCCCCAAGATACCCTGATTACCAAACTAGGGAAAAGTGGGCTTGATAGTGCAACCATTAGGTGGATCCACAATTGGCTGCAAAATTGAACTCAGGGAGTCCTCATCAATTGTATCCTCTCAGACTGGGGTGACAAGTGGGGTGTCACAGGGTCCTGTCCTAGGACCAACACTCTTCAACATTTTTATTAATGATTTAGATGGGGAAGTACAAGGAAAGATAATTAAATTTACAGATGACACAAAACTGAGTGGAATAGCAAATACCCTGCAGGACAGAGATAAGATACAGGGTGAGCTCAATGGGTTAGAACCACGGGAAGAGAAGAACGTTATGCAAATCATTAGAGACAAATGACAAGTCCTGCACTTAGGAACAAGAAACACTTGGCTCAACCATACTGCAAATGAGAAGGATCTTGGGGTTGCTGTAGATCACAAACTAAATATGAGCCAACAACATGATGCAGCTGCAAAGAGGGCAAATGCTATTTTGGGCTGCTTTAACAGATGCATCACATCCTAAACATGTGAAGTTTATAGTGAAGTTCCACTATACTCAGCACTAGTCAGACCTCACCTGGAGTACTTTGTCCAGTTCTGAGCAACTCCATTTTAAAAAGGTACAGAAAATCTAGAAAGGTTCCAGAGAAGAGCAACAAGGAGACTGGAGGCAAGGTTCTATGAGGAAAGATTAAGAGAACCAGGCATGTTCAGCCTCCAGAAGACAGAGCACTCTACAGGAACCTGAAAGACTGTCCCAAAGTGGAAGGACACGATCTCTTCTCATTCATTCTGGAGTACAGGAGACAGAATAATGGACTTAAGTTAAAAGAAACCACATTTAGACTAGATTCCGTATGACAACGGAAACTATTACCTGGGGAAGTGGTGGGCTCTCTCTCACTGGGGACATTCAGAAAGCATCTGGACAGTCATAGTATCATAGAACTGTAGATAGTAGAGTTGGAAGGGGCCAAAAAGGCCTTCAGGTCCAACCCTCTGCTGTTGCAGGACACTAAGTTACACCATCCCACTCAAATGGTGGCCCAGTTTCTTCTTGAATGTCTTTAGTGTGGGACAGCCCACAATCTCTCTAGGCAGCTGGTTCCACTATCATATTGCTCTGACAGTGAGGAAACTTTTCCTGATATCTAACCTGAACCTGGCTTGCTGCAACTTGACTTGATTATTCCATGTCCTGCACTCTGGTCTCAGCAAGAAGAAATCTTGACCTTCCTCTTTGTGACAGCCTTTGAGGTACGTATAGAGGGATATCATGTCTGCCTTCAGTCTTCTCTTCTCGTGGCTGAACATGCCCAGTTCTCTCAGTCTCTCCTCTGCAGGCCTAGAGCTGCATTTAACTCTAAATTTCAAGTGTCTCACCACCTAATTTCAAAAGCTCTCTGCTTGCAGTGAATTCAGACTTTAACCTCTTCCCTGACAGCCCTCTGCCTGGGAAGAAAGGGTCTGGGGAGGCAGTGGGGTGGTGGAAAGAGACAGGAAAAGAAGCTTCCGTGGTAGCCAGCCTTGGCTCCAGCCTTGTTCACTGCTCATTGAAAATGAGAAATTAGCCAGGAAGGAATCTGGTCATTGACTAAAAAAGGTTCTTCACTTCTGCTTTATAGCACAATGAGGAATATAGCACAATGAAGAACTCTAGTCACAGAGCAAAGCTACTCCCCTGCAGCCCAGTCACTTTCACTCGAATTAAACTGAGTTGGGAGACTGCATTTTTGGTGCCAGATGAGGATTAGCACGGGTGGCAGAAACATTTCTGACTGAAACTGAGTAGCAAGAGGGCCCCGTGCATCATATCCCTTTCTCGGCCAGCCTTGCCTAGTGGCAAATGCAGCAGCATCAAGAAACCCCTCCCCCATTCAGTTGCTGGACAGAGCACATCCAGCTAATGCCAGATCATCCTGACCGTCCCCCAGACTATCGGCCTGCTCCATCAACTGCGAAAAGAAATGCTCTGCCAAGAAGAAATGCTATTAATTTGAGAATACCCTGCAAGTCAAAGAAAACCAATCTCTCCTAATTAGTCTATAGACTGAGTGCCTTACATCATTCCTCCCCACCCTAGTGCCACAATTTTGGATTGTGACTCCCAGCATTCCTAACCACTGACTGATGGGACCAGGTTCAGGAAGGCTAGTGAAGGTCTCTCTCACTTCACAAAATGGTGGAGGAAAAGTGAGATAGTTCAGTCTAATAGTTATTCTCTTAGCCACTGTGTGGCAGCCCTTCCCACTGCACTTGCAGTGCAGATAGATGTGAGGAAAACATGTAGCACTTCAGGATCACATCCTATGACAAGTGGCCCTCTACAGATCCACCCGTAAGTAACCCAACCTCACTCTCCAGATGTGCAGTAGTAAGAGGAAAAAAAGAACAAAAAGGAAATGAAAATGTCCATACTCAATTATGCGCTCCTTGGGATTGAATGGAGACAAAGAATCTAGGCCCAAGCGGTTGATAACCTGAGATTAAAAATATAAGGTTATAGATGCTAACTTGATTAAACAGAAGCTGAAATATGGAACAGGCGACTTTCCTTTACTGGATCAATTTCAATTCAAATTGAACTGGCCAGCAAGCCATGACAGGACCAGCTCTGTGGAATGGTACCCGGCCTGTGGCCAACCTCTAGTTGTGCGGATCAGCAGGTCTGCCTAACACTTAAGTGATCAAACCTTGAGGTTTCCTCAAGAAAATGATTTGTGGAGGAACAGCTCATAGCAGATCATCTCCCTATCTGTTGCTTCATTTCCAAGTTGGGATGTGTGCGCATGTCTGATTTATTGTACAAAAGCTTGCACCTCATTAAACATAGCAAGCCTTTGCACAGTTAACCTAGACAGAGTTTTCAAGCCCTCCCACTTCCCACAGCTTTAATTTATTTATTTAGAAACATAGCTCTTCCTTTCCCCAAGTATAGCCACAAGAGAGGGATGAGGACCAAATCAACCCTCAGCATTGCTTATGTTGGCTGAAACTGATGGGAATTGAAGTTCAACTATAACATCCCCCACCCTCCCGGATATTAGTTGGGAGACTCACTCAGTGGTGACAGTCAGGTCATGTTGCTTCCTAGATGCTACAGAGGGAGGTTTTTTCACGCAGAGGATCTGAGAGGCAATGTGGGGGGTGGGGACATCCTTGACTTGGTCTTGACCAACAGGGAGGAGCTGCTAGATGAGGTACAGATTAGGGGAGCACTGGATGCAGGTGATCAGTCCATTCTTTGCTTGAGATCAGGGGAATGGGGACGTGCAGCAGGTCGAGCACTAGAAGCTGGGGCTTCACGAGGGCCAACTTTGGCCAACTGAAGGCCAGACTGGGGAAAGTCTCCTGGGATAGGTTACCAGAAGGCAAGGAGGTGTGGATGGCACTCCAAAGGGAGGTTTTAGAGGAGCAAGTCTTGACGATGCCTGTAGTTAGTAAGGTGGGGAAGTGAAGGAGAGTGCCGACATGGATGCAAAAGGAGGTGGTAAAAGGGATAAGTCACAAGAGGGTCCTCTGTGGGAAATGGGCACTGGGGCAAATAGACAAAAGGGTATACCGAGGGGAGAAGGTCCATTGCAGAAGGATTCTTCGCAAGGCTAAGGCTGATTACGAGCTGAGACTTGCAAAGAATATCAAGAGGAACAAAAAGGGCTTCTAGCAGCATGTAAATAACAAGAGGAAGGGGAGAGAAGTAGTGGGACTGCTAAATAAGGAGGAAGGGGATCCAGTGACTGATGAGAGGGAACAGGCACAGAGGCTAAATGACTATTTTGCCTCTGTGTTCTTCCCAAAGCAGGACGGGGGAGATCCTCATGGGAGAATAGATGAGGCCGGGGACTTAAGGGCACAGATTAGAGTCCCCCCCAGAAGTCGAGGGGCTCCTCAGGGCACTGCATGTTACAAAGGCACCGGGCCATGACGGGTTACACCCAAGAATACTTCAAGAGTTGGCAAGAGTTCTCTCACACACACACTGGCCTCCATTTTTGAGGCCTCATAGAGAATGGGTGAAGTTCCAGAGGACTGGAGGGTGGTGTCAGTGGTACCATTTTTCAAAAAGGGTAGTAGAAGGGACATGGGGAATTACAGACCTGTTAGCCTTACATCCATTGTAGGAAAAACAATGGAAAGGCTCATAATAGCAAGAGATCTAGTGATGCTAGATAGGGAAGAGAAGTCAGCAGCCACATAGCATAGCTTCCGCAAAAACAGGTCCTGCCAGACAAACCTTGTGGAATTCTATGACAAGATTTCGAGATGGCCAGATGGAGGGGATGCAGTGGATGTAGTTTACCTGGATTTCAGCAAGGCCTTTGACAAAGTGCCCCATGATATCCTGGTTGAAAAACTGAGGATATGCCCTGTCCCATGGATTAGAGCATGGTTGACTGACCAAAAGTTAACCATCAGTGGGGAATCATCAGGATGGTGGTCAGTGACAAGCGGGGTCCCCCAGAGCTCAGTCCTGGGACTGATCCTGTTTTATCTTTTCATCAACAACATGGAAGAAGGGGTGAACAGTCTGCTGATTAAATTTGCAGAGGATACTAAAATGGGGGCAGTGATCACAACTGAGGAGTAGGTACTCCAGATCCAAAAGGATCTGGACAGACTATGGAAGTGGGCAGGAGACAACAGGATGGTGTTCAATGTGGATAAGTGCATGGTCTTGCACTTGGGGCATAGGAATGGGTGTCATAAGTACAGGTTAGGGGACAGGTTAGGGGACAAGGCTGGAGAGCAGCATTGTGAAAGGGACCTCGGGGTGCTGGTTGACTACAGGCTAAACATGAGTCGGCAGTGAGATGGGGTGGTCAAGAGGGAAAACGCCACCCTTGGTTGCACAGCCAGAAGCCTGGCTTCTAGATGGAGAGAGGTATTACTACCACTCTATACAACTCTAGTGTGCCCACAACTGGAGTATTGTGTTCTGCTCTGGGCCCCTCATTACAAGAAGGATATAGCCAGGTTAGAGTCAGTGCAGTATAGGACCACAGGGATCATGGCCAGATTGCAGGGAAAGCCATATGAGGCAAGACTGAGGGAACAAAGGTTTTTCAGCCTGGAGAAGAGGAGACTCAGGGGGGATCTGTTAGCAACATACAAGTATGTGAGGGGGTGTCACATGGAGATGGGTGGAGACCTGTTCTCCCCTGCAGAGGAGGGCAGGATGCGCTCCAATGGAGTGAAGCTCAGGGAACCAAGGTTCAATTTAGATCCCAGGAAGTGCTTCCTGACAGTTAGGACCCCAAGGGTATGGAATGGGCTTTCACGGGAGGTGGCTGAGGTCCCACTGGTGAGGGTGTTCAAGGATAGGCTAGACATGCACATGGTGGGCATGTCGTGAGCAGAGCCAGCTGGAGCCAGGGGTCAGACTAGATGGCTCAGGAGACCCCTTCTGACTCACTCTATGTTTCTATGTTTCTACGTTATCAGAAAAATTGATGTCCAGAGACAATGGGAAAATCAAAGTGACTGCAAAGGAATGTGGGTTGTCCTTAAATGGGTCTTTGAAGTATCTGTGTTATCGAGAGAAATTAAGAAACAGCCTCTGAGTCAATTTTTTAGATTCTACATTAATTAATCCTCTGAATACAATTCATAGGGCATTCAAATATTTCAATCCTTCTTAATTTCAATTCAAGGTGTTGGTGATGACCTATAAAGCCCTAAACGGCTTGGGTCCTGGTTACCTGAAGGAGCGCTTACATCCATATATGCCCAGCCGCCCCCTGAGATCGGCGGGAGAGGCCCTTCTCCGGGAGCCCTCCGTGAAAGAAATTAGGAGGGTGGGTACTCGGAGGAGGGCTTTCTCAGCGGTGGCGCCTAAGTTATGGAATGCGCTCCCTAGAGAGGTCTGCCTGGTGCTGTCATTATTTGTTTTTCGGTGCCAGGCGAAGACCTTTTTATTTAAGCAGCATTTTAAATGTTAATACTATTGAATCTTATCTGGCCAGGGCAGCTTATTTTATATTGTGTGTGTGTGTGTGTGTGTGTATATATATATACACACACACACATATGTATGTATATTTTTTAAATTATTATTATTCTAATGTATATATTTTAATTTTTATTTAGGTGGTTTCTAATTTATTGTTGTAAGCTGCCCCGAGGCTTCGGCGAATGGGGCAGCATAAAAATGTTTTAATAAATAAATAAATAAATAAATTTCTAAAATACCAGATATGAATACTGAAAAGTTACCAGTCTGACTTTATGATCTTCCTCAAAGATGAATAGATTTTCTTTCTTAATATAAAATTCTGCTGCATCCAACATGGCCTTCTTGGGAACTAGACCCACAAGCTGAGATCCCACCACTGGCAGATTTAATTTCTAGAAACAAGAAGTGGGATTTTACAACAGTCAAAGTATTGCTATTCATCTGGAGACCAGCAAACCCACATGAGTTACTGGGGATTAAAGCAACTGTTTAGGGACAATGAGTCCCTGGCAAAATTGGGACATGGTTGTGCCTCATGCTGATGTTGGAAAAGTAGCTCAGAGGCAATAATTTGACATCAATACTGCACCTTCTGAAAATAAATCCTGTTGTCAGGAATTTTGAACACGATTCAGTTGGATCCCCAATTACCAGTGCCATCCGCAAGAATGATCTGTCTAACAAGCTGAAATGGGTTGCAACAAGTTCTCTGTGGTGATTCGTGGAAACCAAACATGCCATGTTACACCATGCTTCTGGTATTCACGCATAATTCCTCTCACAGCTGGTCATTATGTGTGAATACAGTCACTGGGTGAACCACAAACAAAACTTGATGGTGGAGCCAGCCCCATTTTGGAGGAGAAAGGGGCGGGGGATTCATTTTTTAATCAACTCCTGACTTGGGCAAATGCTAACTCCACCAACCAGAGGGATCACTACTTTGATAGCTCTACTAGTTAACAGTTTATTCTCTATTGCAAGCCAGCCTAACTTAATGAAGGATTGTATTTTAGAAGTCATTAGCTTCCAAGTTGGGAAGGGAAAGGGGGAGAGGCATGCTCATGGCATGCACTCAGGGTTGTTCATGATTAATAACCATAGTTTATTAATGGTTAATAAAGCCAAGCATACCGTTGAGCCAGAATGCTTGGCTTCAGATAACTTGATAACCCACAATTCAACAACTCCCCATGGTTCAACAGCAACCCACACTCAGCCCTTGGGTATCTTGTGTTGTCTGAACCCAGAGAATATGTTGCATGGAGGCTACAGGTTGTCTTAGGTAATACTTCCTTTTCTTCCCACATTGTTCTGCAATCTCTGAAGCACAGGGAAGATAAAGTCCATTAACATATGTCCCAGGCAATCTGCTCCTAGCACAGCTGCCTAGACCAACAGACAACTCTCCTTCTTTTCCCACACCACACTGCACCCATTTCTTCACCAGTTGTAAAGTCTGAGGTCAGGTTTCTAAAAGTGAAGCAAAGTTATAGCTTGGGAAGTCTTCAGGGAGCATTTTAGATTGTAACTCCCTGTATTCAATGCATTTCACTCCAAATACATCATGTCAGCACCAGGTTGCTCAGCATTCCTGTACAACTCACCTTGGCATCACTACAGACCTCCTCATAAACCATGTAAAGGGGAGTAGTTTCAAAATCCAACACATTTGTAGAAACTTGAGCAATATTTTCCTCCTCCAAATACCAGCCTATGCCTTGCACCTGCTTCAATCGCCCAGGCTGAAAAGGATAAACAGAAACCAACTATTTCAATTGTACATGCACTCAGCTAAAATGCCAACATCACTGTCCCTTTCTCTCTTAATCCAATCCAGCAAAAGCCAAGCAAGATTTTAAAGGTTTTATAATGCTCCCAAGAACTTTCATTTTTAAGACAATTCATACAATTTCTTCAACACATACCAAAAGGATAGCTGTGTTGGTTTACCATAGCAATACAGCAACAATTAATTTTGTGATACCTTACCCACCTATTGTTGCAACATAGGCACTAATTGATTATCCTCAGTATGCAGACAAAGGTATTGGAAAGAATGAGCCTACAAGACTATGAAACGAGGGGTCAGGTCTGTGAACAAACTAAAGTGAACCAAAATGGGACATTTACAGTCAGACAGATGCAATGCAATTTACTCTGGAAATGACAACACAGAGGCAATACGTAGCACAGGAAGTTAAAGGGCTATCGTGCAAAATCAAACGGAATCATATCAGTCAGAATTCTTAGAAAACCTATCGACACAACCATCATTCAACTCTATGTTCCACCAACAGATGCTGAAGAAGAAATCTTTTATGCAAGTGTCCCAGAGGAAATGGGTAACACCAACAAGATAGCTGACTGGATGCAAAAGTAGGATGATAGAATTGTGCCAAGTCAACCATCTGTTATTGCAAATCCATGCTCCATACACAGGGACATCACCAGGTGGCCAGTACAGAAATCAGGTAGTCTGTGTAACTGCAAGTCAGAGACAGAGAAGCTGTATTCTTACTACCAAAAGAAGACAAGGAACAGTTTGTAGTAGTGACTCTGAGCTCTTAATATCAAAAGTCAGAGCAAAGCTGAAAAAGATAAGTAACAAAAGCATAGTGCCAAAATACAACTTGGATAATGGAAAATGCACTTACAGTCGCTAAGCACAGGTGAGAAACAAAACCAAAAGGTGAGACACACAGGGTCAGAATTCTCAATGTGACTTTCAACAACTATCCCATAGAGATAAAAAGAACGGCCAGTGCAAAACAATAGAAAGAGAAGGTACAGATGGTCCCGAAGGAGCCTGGTGTGCCTCAGCACTTGATTGTCCTGTATTGCGGATAAGAAATTGCAGTTGGGACAGAATATGGAGTAACACGATGGTTTCCCATAGGCATAGGGTTATTTCATCTCCCTATCCATTCATTCTATATGCAGAAGACATCACAGGGAAAGCTGGATTAGGCTCACAGGATGGAGTAAAAATGGGCAAAAGATACATCAGTAATTTAAATATGCCATTGATGCCATATTGCTGGCAGAAACTCAGAAAGTGAAATAAGAAAATGCAAAACAGAAACATGGCAGGTCAGAAGCCGCCTCACCCCCCCCCCACCCAATATGTCATTATCAACTCCCTTCAGAGTCTCCTCTTCTCCAGACTCAGCTCCCTCAGGACATATGTCATGCCTCCCAATCCAGCTACCATCCTTGTGAGCCTGAACTGAACTGATCCTGGCCCAGCTATGTCTCTTCTATAAGTTGGAGCCCAGAACTGGGCACAGTTCTCCAGTTGTGAGTGCACCAGAGTGTTATAGAGCGGCACCAGCACCTCTCTGGATCTGGAAGCCATGTTTCTGGTTATACATCTAAAGGTGGAGTTCACGTTCTTAACTGCCACGTCACACTGCTGGCTCATGTTTAGCTTGCTATCAACAAGTACCCTGAGATCCCTTTCAGAAGTACCTCTCTCCAGACACTTGTTCCCCATCCTGTACCCATGGCACCTATTTCTTAGTCCCAAGGGCACTTACCCACATCGAACACCATCCTGTTCTCCCCGCTTCACTTCCACAGTCTGTCCAGATCCTTTTGGATCTGGGGTGCCTGCTTCTCTGCTGTCCACTGCCCCCACTTTGGTATTGTCTGCGAACTTGATCAGCAGACTGGTTACCTCCTTCTCCAGGTCATAAATGAAGAAAGAGGATGAACAGAATTGGTCCCAGCACTGAGCCCCAGGGGTTCAGCTGCTGTCCTGATGATTCCCCACTGATAGTTACTCTCTGCTTGTGGACTGTCAGCCATGCCCTCATCCATCAGACAGCGCATGAGCTATTCCGGGGCTCATCAGTTTCTCAACCAGGCTACCATGGAGCACCTTGTCAAAGTTCCTGCTGAAATCCGGTAAACCACCTCTACCATGTCCCCTCCTTCTAGCCACACTGGAACCTTATCATAGAATTGCATATGGTTCATCTGGCAGTACCCATTTTTGGAGAAGCCATCTTGCATGGCTGCTGAACCCCCTTCCCTGTCTAGAGTTTCCAGAGTCTTCCTAATCATGAGCCTTTCCATCATCTTTCCCAGAATGGACGTTAGGCTAACTGGCCTGTAAAGCCCCTTGTCTCCTCTGCTACCCTTTCTGAAGATTGGGCCTGCTGTCACTATTGTCCAAGCCTCTAGTACTCCCCCTGATTTCCACAAGGCCTCAAAAATGAAAGCCAAGGAATGCAAGAGTACCTCTGCCAATTCCTGAAGCAACCTCAGGTGCAACCCATCAGGACCAGGCACCTTTGTAACATCCAGGCCCTGAGGAGCTCCTCAACTTCTAGGGCAGTGACTCCAATTTGTGCCCCCATAACCCCAGCCTCATCTGGCCCCCCAGGTAGACCTCCCCCAACTTGTGTTGGGGAGAGCACAGAAGGAAACTAATCATTTAACACTTGTGCCTTTTCCTTTATAGATCCCCTCCCTCACTTTTAAGCAGTCCCACAGCCTGTCTCCCTGTCTGCTTACTAGTTGCATAAAAATGGAGGCCCCTTCTGTTGCTCTTGACTTTCTCTGCAAGTCTCGCCACATAATCAACTTTAGCCTTGCGAAGAATCCTTCTGCATCAAGCCACCTTCCACTTGCCCCAGTGTCCATTTCCTGTGGAGGTCCTTTTTGCTTTTATTCCTCTTACCCCCTCTCTTCACATCCACTGTGGTGCCCTCTATGCCTCCCTGCCTAGCTAATCAGTAGTATCATTAACGCTTGCATCTCCAAGTCCTCCCTTTTTAGTGCCATTGACCCCTCTTGAACTCCCTTGCCTTCCAGTGCCCTGTCCAAGGACACCTCCCAGCCTGGCCTTCAATTGACCAAAGTTGGCTCTTGTGAAGTCCCACCTCCTAGTACTTGACTCATCCCTGTTCTCCTGGTCTCAAAGCATAGGATAGAGTGGTCACTCACACTCATGGAGGACTCCAGCTAAACATTAAGAAAATAAAAGCCATGAATACAGACAATTACCCAACTTTACAGTCAACAATGAAGAAATGGAAATTGGGAAAGAGTTGGCATACATTGACTCATCAATTCAAAGGAAACTGCAGCCAAGAATTATAATTGGAAGGGCTGCAATGAATGAACTAAGAAAGATAATCAAGAGTAAGGGCATTTCGCTAAAGACCAAGGCCAAGATTATCCACATCATTGTATTCCCATCACCGTATATGGGTGTGAAAGTTGGACAGTGAAGAAGGTTTACAAGAACACGAATCTGTGGAAAACATGGTGCTAGTGAAGAGCTTCACAAATACCCTGGACCAGCAGAAAAACAAACAAGCAGACCTTGCCCTGGAAACAAAAATAATGAAACTGAAGCTGCTGTATTTCAGACAAGTTGGAAAGACAAGACTCCCTGGAGAAGGCTAGGGAATGTTGAAGACAGAAGGAAAAAAGGAAGACCAACTGTGAAAGAGATCAATTCCATAAATGAGCCCACAGCCTTGAGTTTATAAGCGCTGAGCAGGGCTATCAAGGACAGGGCATCCTGAAGGATATTCATTCCTAGGGTTGCCATAAGGTAGAGATGATTTGGCAGCAGATAACAACAGCAAAATGAGCTATAGAGCTACAGGTTGTTGTTGTTGTTAGTCACGAAGTCATCTCCGACCCATCGCGACCCCATGGACAACATTCCTCCAGGCCTTCCTGTCCTCCACCATCCCCCAGAGTCCACTCAAGCTCACACCAACTGCTTCAGTGACTCCATCCAGCCACCTCATCCTCTGCCATCCCCTTCTTCTTTTGCCATCTACTAAAAGTGATTCTCCCAAGCCCTGCATCTGTGAAGTGGGAAGGAGATAGGCAAGAAAGTACGGAACACACCTATATGATTAAGCCTATTGGATCCAGGGGATGCCACCTAGCAGATCATACAGAAAAACTGGGGTTGTTGAGAATTTCATTTCTATTTGTAAAACATCCCATCCACAACCCTCAATTTGGAAATTGTGTTGTTTTTGGAGAAATTATTTCATATTCCCAAAATTTGTAATCCTGATTGAAACATGTACATTTTTTCAAGCTTTGCACAATTTGAAATGCAACATTTAAAAAAATGTTCATGCTGCTCTCAATTGAGGATAAGTGTGTACTTTCAAAATACACAGACATAGAAACGCATACTTTTCCACTTGAATGGGCCAAAAAGCTAGTTGAAAAGAAAAATGGGAGCATGCAAAAATGAGCTTTGAGTTGATTTTCAGAGAATTTAGGTGTGCTCAGAAATTGCTAGTTTTCTCATCCCTACATCATCCCTACGTAAAGCCAGGTTATGCTTGAACCCTTAGAGGAGGAATCTATTTGACCTGGAAGTGGGCCAAATAGCAAAAGGAATGAGGGGCAGGAGAGATCTACCAGTGATTTCTGTCCTGAACAGTGGGATACCTGGTCCTTGTCACGGCCCTGCTCCCGAATATTAAGTGCTATCCGGTGTGCCAGCTCCTTTGTGCACAGCAAATTGACATTATACGCTATGAGGAATTTCCGTGCACCTGTTACTGTCACTCCCCATCTTGGAACAAAGGTTGCAGGACCAAAATCAGGAATCCATTCTTCCTCTCTGAGCTTGTGGGGGGAAAACAAAGAAAAAAGTGGGTGGCTTTATTCCAGTCGTAAATATATACTCACTGTGTTCAAGAGAGGGAGGCAGAGCCAGGTAGTTGGTATGCTGAATCAGCCAAACACCTGAAATGATTAATTTCTCTTCTCTGTGTTGACAATTAATAACAAATAGTATTGTACTTTCTGTCAGGAGCCTGGTTTCTTGGTATGCCAGAGAGTGTGTGCAGCAAGACCCTGCTATCGCATTTCTGTCTGAAAACTGGAAATGCAGTGGCAAAAACAGGGATGGCACCTTGCACAGTGTGCTTCCATGGTGGGGACCATGAAGCGGAGACCACCGTGGTCCTCAAAACTTATCATCTAAGTCGAAATTGTTTGGGACAAGTTCAGCTGTTGACATCAGCACCTGGGGCTGCTTTATGCAGCATTGCTTTGGAGATAAATTTAGTAGCTATATAAAAGCTGAGCTTTTAAGCCGAATTGTTCAAGTCATTTTTAGAGATAGGCTTTGTGGGCTTTGGATGTTATCTTTATTTCTTTTATAAAGACACTGTGAGTTAATTCTGACACGACTCTTTTTCTTCATGGAAGAACGTTCATGAAGAAATGTATATAAAAAGAGTCATTTGGGGGAGTTTCATGGCAGGAGTGAGAGGGACCCTCCTCCCATGCCAGTCCCTTGAGTGAAATTTGGCGCAAGTAACTAATAGATCCATCAGCAAGGCCTTGAAGGTGCAGCCATGATAGAACCATGATAGTAACTGGGAACCAGCTCCAGTCAAAGCTGAGTGTTCCTTCTTATTTCCCAGACTGTGATACTGATCCTTGTTCTCACTGCAGTGCAGCTGCTGTTATAAACAACACAACATCTCACTTTCTTGGGGAGGCCTTCATACTCTCCTGCTCGGATGGCTGGTAAAGAGCGTCTGCTTTCCTTCAGTGCTGCTTCGCCATACAGATACACTGCAAAGAAAGATTTGAAGAAGTATATTTAAATATCTTCATTCATCATTTAAACATACTGCATTACTAAAATTAATTGAATTATAATAAGACTCAGACAATTCCATCTGTGGTTTCTTTCCTCAGTGCATGAATAAATTTTATTTTTGCATGAACGTCTGAAAAGCAATCTATGACATGCCTAACTTACATAAATATTTGTGCTTCTACTCCTTTAAATTCTATAGCAGAGTGGGAAACCTTTTTCGACACTTATGGCAATTTGATAAACTCTCCTGGCCTCCACCACAAAGCATCTGCCATGGAAAGCACAGCAAAAGAGAGAGACTTGTACTTTAGAGATGAAGTACAAGGCGCAGGTGAAGTCCCTGCCCCAACACACTTAAACAATTCCTTTGAAACCCAGAGTTCAACCTCAGAAGAAACCAATTTTGCTGCAATCCCAGTTACTGTGTGATTTCTTTTAAATAGAAGGCATAGAACACCTTGGTGGGCCCTAAGAAACACACTGAAACACACTGGCGCATATGATGTCCCATTGCCTACCCCTTCTCCGCAGAGCCATCCTAATGGAAAAGTTGCAGAGCAATCAAGACACAGTGTAAAATAACCAAGCTATAAAGAAAGCATCACTTTCATCAATTTCTTGCCTATCTGGTAACTGAACCAAAAATTCTGCAGACCTGTCCCAATCTAGAAATCATAGAATCATAGAATAGTAGAGTTGGAAGGGGCCATGAAGGCCATCGGGTTCAACCCTCTGCTGTCGCAGGACACAAGTTAGACCATCCCACTCAGATGGCTGCCAAGTTTTTTTTGTATGTCTCCAGTGTGGGAGAGCCCACCACCTCTCTAGGCAGTTGGTTCTACTGTTGTATTGCTCTGACCATAAAGAAGCGTTTTCTGATGTCCAGCCTGTATCTGGGTTGCTGCAACTTGAATTGTTTATTCCGTGTCCAACACTCTGGCATCAGCAAGAAGAGATCTTGACCTTCTTCTATACGACAGCCTTTGAAGTACTTACAGAGGGATATCATGTGTGTCCCCCTCCTTGCCCCCAGTCTTCTCTTCTCAAGGCTGAACATGCCCAGTTCTCTCAGTCTTTCCTCACAGGGGGCAGTGTTTCCAAACCCTGCATCATTTTTGTTGCCCTCCACTGGACGCAAGAATGTGTAGCCTTCCAGGTATTGTTGGAGTGGAACTCCTATTAACTCTAACTAGAATAGCCAACAGCGAAGGGTGGTAGAAGTTGCAGTTGATTCACATCTGGAGTGCCACATGTTTCCAAACCTCAGCCCTGGTAAGCCAACATCTAGCAGCTGAATTCTGTACTAGCTGAGACTTCCAGACCATTCTCATAGTATAACGTAACAACCCCCTGTATAACATATGGTCTCTGTGCACTGGAGGAGGCACCTGTGGATATGGAACAGGCTTCCAGGGAGGCAGTTGAGGCCCCATCAGTGAGGGTGTTCAAGGAAAGACTGGGCAGCCACATGTTGGGAATTACATGAGTGAAGCCGGCTGGAGCCAGATGGCCCAGGAGGCCCCTTCTGACTCACTTTTTTCTATGTTTCTCTATTTCTAAGGGGGCCTAAGCATACACATATCAACAGACAGAGGTCTGAACAAGCAGTCTGTACAGATGACATGCTGGGGCACAGAGCAGGCATGCCCTTGCTGATCACACCTTGGTGATCAGCACCTATGGACACGATCCCCGTGAGTATTTATAAAAGTGTACATGTCTGTATCTAGAGGGAGAGGGAGAGAGAGCACTAATAACAAAACACAGTGATGTGTGAATCAGACCACTAGAAGAAGTGAGATTGCAGTTAGGCAAGTGGTGATCAAGAGAGATCCGCGTGCTGAAAATTCACTTGGTGCCACTTGTCAGACAGCTGTGAACTTTCTGATTCAGGATCCTTCTGTTGTTGCGACCAGCTCACCAGGCACATGCAGTTCATCTGCTAACCGCTTTCCAAAGAGATTGGCAGAGTGAATACATTCTTCCATAGCAACGTTCCTCACTGGGATGAATGGGCAAACATCCAGGGCTCCCATCCGAGGATGTTCACCTGGAACAGGAGAGCATGGCTTCAGAAATGTGCAGTAAAATTAGAAAGGAGATGTGGCAGCCAAAATAAAGTTAAAATATAGAAAATGCAGAAATTTCAGAAGTCTGTTTTTGAGGACTAACCTGATGTCTGGAGTCACTGAAAACTCTGGAAGAAATATCTGATTAAAATGAACATATTTGTTCTCAGGGTCACTGGCTCCAGACAAACCTTAACACACCACAGGTTCAGGACTACACCTGAAAACATGAGTTAGGAATTAAGCAATGGCACAGAAGACACGAATTCAGCCAGCACCAAGTTAAATCTGATGGGAACAGTTTCTTTTATTTTTTTGCATGTCTGCCACATTCATGTATACATTAGGATAATAAGGACTATTTTTATAACAAGGGTGAAATGTGGTTTGGGAGAGCTAAATCTTTCCCTACATTATTACTTCCCCAGACTAATTCACCTCAGGCATCCCAGGTCTGGTATCAGAAATGAACCAAGCTTACAATGTTTTCAGACATAGTGCTGCTAGCATTGTATAGTTTTTCACATTGCTCTGCTTAATAGATTTTCTGCATTAAGGAAAAAGATGGAAGAAGTGGTATAAAAATATGCAAAACTCATGTGTAGAAGGCAACATCTGGACCCTCTGGAGTATCTCTTAACAAGAAGGTATAATGGCTTTGTAAAAACCTTGTCTAGGAGCTGTTGTTACATGCCATCAAGTTAGTTTCATAACCTTGTATTTAAAAGAGCTGAACAAGGCTACGAAAGGCAGGACACTTTGGAGAGCATCCATGTATAGGGTTGCCATAATTTGGAGAGTATTTGATAGCACATGACAACAAAAAAACCTCTTATGAGCAGAGTGGGCATTAGAGTTACAGGAGGGCTATCAACAGCAATATTCCCAGCACCTGCATCGATGAGGTGGGAAGGTGGATGACAAGAGACGCATTCATTCATAAGGTCACCATAAGTCAGAGACAACTTGACAGCACTTAACAACAACGAGTTACTGTTGCACTATAGTGAATTAGAAATGTAGCGATTGTATTTGGTGATGCAAGCTTCTTTTAACACAAAGCTTTATAGAAAATAGAGAAAGCAAATCAATTTACCGTGGCTATTGCCACCGTGCTATAGCTAAGGTACTTGGAACTCTTGTAATTCAGTACTACAAGGACCTGAAATGTGAGGCAACAAGTCCAAATCCTATGCCTTTACAAGTGTGTATTGGCTCTTAAAAATACATTTTACCATATCCAAGACAAGACAAATAGTTTTGGAAGCAAAAAGTCAGCACTATTTACCACCAAGACACCCTCAAGAGCTCTGTTTAGCTCCCTTGATCTCCACTTCCCGTGTCCTTACCTTTATGTTTTGCCATGTCAATGAGCTGAAAGGCTGTTCTGGCTGCGTTCAAGGCGCCCTCTACAACAGCTTCGGGACTCCCCACAAAAGTGTAAACCGTCCGATTGGTGGAAGGGCCTGCATCTGTGTCCAGGAGCACGCAGCCCTTTGTCTGAGAGATGGCCTGGCCGATCGCCTCTATCACCTGTGCCAGAGTGTTCCCTGTTAGAGACCTTGGATCAGCAGCACCTCCTGCACTGCACTAGAAGACTCAATACATCTTTTCTGTGCAAAACATGGCCCTGTGATCGGCTACATCTGTAATATTTCCTACTTAAAAGGCACTCTGAATGTAATTTTTAATTACATAAATTCAGGCACCATTCATTTTACCTCGACAAATTTAGACATGTACCTTTCCCTGCACGGCTTCAAACTACTTGGAGAGCCACTTGATAAAAAGTGCCATCCCACAGGTGGGTTCGAGCACCGTTGAGAGAGGTGCCCTGTGCAAGTACACCAGCCCTTCCATGAGACCATGAAGAAGAAGTGCGGTTCCTTGTCCAAGGCCAAGATCAGGGGAATCGGACTCTTGTTCACAGTGCTGTTCTGGAGGTGCTTGTGACATCAGAGACCTGAACTGTCTCTCCTTGAAATGGCTTGAGCTCTGTTAAAATGAGTTTTTGTCTGCTTTTTAGAGTAAATCAATGTTTAAATCAGGGGAGAACAAATGGTGGCCCATGGCCAGCCCCTGTGTGCCCCCCAAAGCCAGCAGGACTGCACCCACATTGTCCTCCATCAGCTAGAGTGCAGGAGAAAAATGTTTTTCCCTGGTTTCTGAAATCACTGCTTTACCCCACTTCGTTGGGAGTGGCAGGGATAATCTGCATAAGCCTGAGGAATTTTGGGAAACAGAGAACCACAGAAATAGAGTGAGTCAGAAGCGACCTCCTGGGCCACCTAGTCTGACCCCCGGCTCCAGCCGGTTCTGCTCATGACATGCCTGCCATGTGCATGTCTAGGGAGAAATGAGGGGAGGTCACTGCATACAGTCACTGCAAACAGCAGAGACTTCAGCTGACCCACTCAAGACAGCAGCCTGCACACCTAGCAGCATGTGAAAATTGATAAATCTGTGTTTTCCCAGCTCCCTCTGTGTATCCCTCTATAGCACACAATGAGTGGAAAGAAGTCTCCAGTGGAAGTAACCCACAAAGTGTTCGGCAATGCTTGCATTCCTGCCTGAGACTAAGAGGTGTGTACCTGCAATAAATGCAAGGTATTTGCATTATTAGAAGAAAAGGTGAAATAAGAACAAGTGACAAATTATTGGAGAAAACACTGGTACTGCAGGAACAACAAGAGACACCAGAGATGGAAGAGCAATAGCAGGTTGAAGCACATATGAAGGATGCTGACTTGAGGAAACGCTATGAAGAGGAAACTCTGGGAGAAGAGTAACAGTTTGGAGAAGAAAAATCCAGCACTCTGCTCCAGTGGAACCACTAGAGATAAGTAACTGCTCTAAGGCAGTTACTTATTTTGTACAGAAAATACTTCAGAACTTACCTCTTTGTTGTTACCTTCAGAGAAATTGGGGACACACTCCACTAATTTTGCCATTGCTCAGTTGTGGGTTTTCTAGATGTGTTGGAGTCCTGTCTGTTACAACCCTTCTACCCTTCTGGCTGAAAAATGTAACTATAGGATCAGGAGACTTTGTGGCTTACAGCCAGTAGCCTTGCTTAATATTCTGGGTTTTTAATTAACTACCCCAAACTACATCAACTACAAGCTTGCCTTAACAGCTTGGTACTTTGGACTGTACTTTCCCTCTGTTTTTCAAGGCTGAAACTGGATCTGGCTGTGTGCATCATTGTCATGACAGTGTGATGCAACAGCAGCATTTAAAGGTAAAATGGCACTGCAAAAATATTCTAAAACCATCAAAACCATGCCAGAATGACTGTTTGACTGAAATGAGAGAATATACAGTATGTATGCAGCAACGATACTGTAGGCTGTTTGAATGAAAGGGAATATAGTTGGCTGCATGTGTTTTGCCCAAGAATGGAACCAAGTTCTACGGCAAAACTAAGTCATTCATTACAACCAAAAGTGAGTTTTACTAACCATCACTCAAATCATTTCACAGAAGCATATAAAATTGCAGCTTAAATTAATTATAAAAGAGTTTAGCATTTCCCTCCTGGGTTTTTTATATAGCTTCTTTGGAAGGGGTGATTTTCTTTGGAACCGCAGCCAGTCTTAAGCTCCAACCACACTCGGATTCAGACAGAGGAGCTGCATGGCAGCTTTCAGGACATGCATCCCTGCAGATCTGTGAATACACATTTAACATTGTGTGCAGTTTGCTAAGAACTCACAATCTAGAAATTTAGATTCTGAAGAAACAGGTCTGTACAAATTGTTGAAATGTTGCCCCAGGAACGTCTGATGTTACAAATTTTATGATCAAAAGAAAGCTGTTGCACATTTTATTATCACCTATGAATGTGTAAGCTCATATGTGATCTTATGAATACTTGTGATATATATGGTGGGAAGAATGGACTAGTATTTATTTCATCTTTCTCTTATCCAGGATGAAGTTCAAGACTCAGTCTTATATTTATTTGCCCGTTTGCTCTTTCACATGGAGGGAATCTGGACACCATAAGAGAACAAGCCTTTTCTGACAGCCAGAGTTTCAGCAAGAAAGCAGGTTGTTCCTACACTTGTTTATCTTAGGAGCTTTATCACCAGATTTTTTTCCTTATGGGAGATGGCACAAAGGAACAAATAGAATCACCGGCAGTTTGTAAAGCCTGACTGTTCATCCTTGTACCGATGAACAACCAAAGTGGCCACTGTCCGCAGACCAGCAGTAGACTACGAAATGCTTAATGATTACTTATGCCTGCATGGGCAGGCATGTAAGTTGCAACCCTGGCTCCAGTGTGTAGGAGGCCCTTAAGTGGGCCACACCTCTTTGCCACTTTTGTCATCCCCTGGTATTCGCTTTCCCTCTCCCTCTGGGCCGAATCCACATCACTGCCCAGAAGAAGAGATCAAAGCAAAGCTAACTGGTTGCGTCTTGCTCCTGTTGCTGCTCATTGAGTGGGTGAAGCATGTAAGCGGCAACACTGAAGAGGCGAAGCAGGGCCAGAGCCCTCTGGAGGTTAGTTGAAATGCGGCAATAGTGCTGATCCCTGGTGTTGATCTGCTTCAGCAGCTGTAACAATTGACACTGGGTATTAAAGGAGCCGGGCATTAAAGTATACAAATTCCAAAGCAGTCATACAAAGTCAAGTAAAGTCCTCTTCTATTTAAAAAGCATCAGTCCCACGTGAGTTTTGAAATGGAACCAAAGAACAGAAACTCCCACCAGAGCAATGCCCAAGAATGCTCCACAGCATGCTTATTCTGACTTCTTAAAACCTGCTCAGTGGCACATATGTGCTGAAATAAAAGTGGAGACAGCTATAGCCTAATTCAAGGGCAGTTTCTGTAGATGCATTCTGGTACAAAAAGGACACGACAATCCAAAGATTTGCAACAAATATGTAAACTATTCTGATTATTATCCTGCTAGGAAATATTTCACAGATCTCTACCATTTTTGCCATAATCATTCACTGACCTTGGAGCAGATGCCCAGTTGCTCAGGAAGGAAGGAAGGAAGGAAGGAAGGAAGGAAGGAAGGAAGGAAGGAAAAAAAAACAAAACAAGGATGCCCTGTAATGACAGGTCCATATTCTGTCCTCCAGGTCAGATAGATAGATAGATAGATAGATAGATAGATAGATAGATAGATATGATATGGCTCTTCAAAAGCTACATCTCCCAGTGTATAGGGAATGGATTCATTTCAAATATGGATTTAAGCTTCAAAATAAGTGGAATGAGGGAGGAAATGAGAGCTTGGGCCGGCTGGCATCTCTTTATGAATGAGATGCAACACTACATCTGGCACTTGTGACCTGAGTGTTAAACTTCTATTATTTTATTTATACTAAAATCTATCACCAAAATACAGAGTGTGTACCTGCTACCAGCTGCAATTCAAATACAAAAATACAGGAACTGCTAAAAAAATAGACAGCCAAAAGCAAAACAAGTTTAGCACAACAAACAGCAAATTAGTAAGCAGTAGCTTAATACAGAAAACATACACATTACTCTGTGGCCATTTTCAGCAGATACCCTTTTATTACATATAAGATGTGTTGGTGTGTTCTTTCTATTAGAGATTTGAGGGCAAGAGGTGTAGTATGCACTACCAGGCAAACAGGGCCTTGTTGTCTTCTTTAGAAAGTTCGCACAAACAGTTCAACAACAGCAACGTATCTCCGAGGAACTTGGACGGGACAATGTCAATCACTATTTTCCTGAGGTCAGCAGGGCTGTTGTGAACGGGGTTAGAAGTAAGATCTGGCCTTTGTTTCAGGATGCCATATGTATTGATGAGATATTCACTAAACAGTGGGTGGATCTCTGTCTGATAGCCCATTTTTTCCAGGCGGACGGTCAAGTCAAGGTAGCGCTGAGTCATGGCTTGGTACTTTTTCTCATCCACAGAGCCAGCTAGAGATTTCATGGAGACCTAGGTATTTTCACATATAAATTCACTGTCAGTACATCATGAAAGGGTCGATATGCCTGACTTTCATTTGGCATCAGCAGGAGAAAAGCATTAGTTGAAAACGTGGCGTGTGTTTTCCGTTTTGTGAGGAAATTTATTTTATGTACTGATCTGGTCCATATGACATGACAGCCCACGATGAATGATCAGGCATGGTGGGTTGTCCAGTCCTGCAGTCCCGGGACAGTTTCTGCATTGTGGCTTATTTCTCATGAACAAGCCACCCTGAAATCCCCAGGCTTGTTTTAGGATTATTGATACCCAGGACGAATGGTTGTGAACCAAGCAGGGTGATTTCAGCATTTGGTTGCCAGGAATTGCTAGAACAACCAAAGTCCATGTCAGTCCTCCCAGTCTCGTTCACGGAGGCAGCATCTTTCCTCATCCCTTCTGAGCTACCTGTTGCTTTGCCATAATCTTTGCGTGTATTTCCCAGTCCTGCCCACTGCTCTGTAACACGGCTGGCAATGGAGAGAAGCAACAAGCAGAACGTGGGAGAGGGGAACCAAGAATTACCGGAGAGAAGACAGTGAGTCCATGATATAGCAGCTTTTTTAGGGTGCTTTCTAGCTATCAGTGTAAGTATGGGGATGCTTGGCTAAATATCAGAGAGGCAGACCTGCACAACAGTGAAGTCCCCAGAGCAGGGCAAAGTGGCACATAGATTCTGTGTTTGTAATGGCTCATAATGTTAATTCAGTACGGTGAACTGATGTACAGGGAGCAGGTGGAGTTTCCTTCAGGAAGCGGCAACCCCAGCAGACCAGCTGCGGAAATGGTGCACACCAGCACAGGCAGTTTTCTGCAAAGGCAGCTGGGATATTTGATGGGACAAGCAACAGGACAAAGGAGGAGAATAAGCCACAGCAAGTCTGATAGTCTGCCAAGAGTACCTGGAGTGTCGAGAGAACTGTCAATCCATGTGGCTTATTCACTGGGTACTTAGTGTGACATGCATACTTTCCATTGTTATGGGATTGGGCATAGGGCTGTATGATCTCCTGCGATCCGTTCCAGTTCACAGATTCTTGACATAAACTCTTGATCCTACCAGTGTCCCTCGCCTGAAACATCCTGTTCAAAATCTTGTACTTGTTGGCAGTTCCATCCAGGTGGCCCACCACCTTCCCTTTCTTACCAATAACTTGCCAATAACTTGCAAGAGCTGGCGTTTTGCTTGGGAGGAAAAAGAATCATAGAGTGGGGAACTAAGTTCAAAGATCATCTAGTCCAACCCCCTGCCAAAGCAGAAAACCAAGTGCTGAAGCATCCCTCAAAGCTAGGAACTGTTCCAGAAGGCGGCTTTACCTCCCCACACCCTTGTCAGCAGGAGGTGTGTGTCTTTGGACAAAACAGTTTGAAGAAAGGCGGACTGAGAACAGACAGAGCTGAGCTGGCTCTGAAAGCTCCTTGGGCTGCCCCCAAACAACTAATGTGGGAGCACCGGGCAATATTGTTTATGTTATAGCTGCACCTCAGCCAGCACATTTGTACTTAGAAATCTTAGCAAGATGCTAATAAGCAACCTCAGTCCAAAATAAAACAAACCTGGTGAATTTACACCCCTAAAATATCTCAGCACTCAGTCAATTGTGGTGTGCATAGCAATGTTTAGCAAAGTTCAGTTTACCATAGAGTTTCAGTGTTGTAAAAAAAGTAACTTACTAGTTGATATACAGAAACTTGATTTATCAATAAAGAGAAAGCCCTGGGGCTTTCCAGTTAAAAAGATTTCTTCATCAGGCTAACTTTGATTCAAAGGAAGTTTGTTTTCAAAGGAAAAATGACCAAAACCAATGTCCTTAAGAAGCCTACTGAGGTAGTGATCTATACTGACCTTCACGGGAGTAAGCACCATTAAACCCAATGAGACTTATCTCACATTACACATATCACAGGCCAAGCTATTAACTGTGTGTTGGACTCCAGTTCAGACACATGAGTGCACACACATTAATGAATGATGTAACTCTCTTGGATCCGCCTATTAGTATCATATTTTGGGGGACAAGGCTGAAATTTAAAACCAAACAAGCAGAATCTTATCTTGTGAGCAACAGAGTTCACGATTGTGAGACATTATCAACAGTTGTGGAAAGAGATGAAGTTCCAATTTTACTGAAAACCAACAGATCACCAGGTTCAACTCGCAAACTGCAGATGTTCTAACTGGCTAAGAAAGGGATCTTATGGTTGTTATGAACAGGTAAATTATAATGTTGGTCTAGTGTGCAGCTGCTATGAAAAAAGGCAAATTCCATGTCAAGGAATATTAGGAAAGGAATTTAAAATAAAATATCATAATGTCTGTACACAAATTTATAGTGGAACCACAGTTGCAATTCTAGTCACCACTCCTAAAAAGGGAAAATGTAGAGCTGGGAAAAATACACAGAAGGATACTAAAATGACCAAGCATCTGGAACAAACAGCCCTTGAAATAAAGGTTACAACATCTGGGATTTTTCAATTTAAAAAGGCAAGTAAAGGGAAATACGATAGATACGTACAAAATTATACATGGCATGAAGGAAGTTTTTCTCCCTCTATCCTAATACTACAACCCAGGATCATCCCATGAAACTCAGCAATGGAAGATTCAGGACCAATAAAAGGAAGCATTTACTTCTTCACAAAAGTGCCAAACTATACAATTTGCTACGACAAGATGTACTAATGGCCACTAATAAGGATGGCTTTAAAGGTAGAGTAGATAAATTCGTGGAAAAGACAGTTATCTGTGATGTCATGATTGCTCTATGCCTATGCATAGAGAAGAACTTGGGCGGAAGGGTATTGATGTATTCATGTCCTGTTTGTAGATTTCTCATAGGCATCTATATAATCATGATTGGCATAGGATGCTGAATGAATGAGGCCCCTGGTTTGATCCACCACTGCTTTTCTTATATCTTTATATTATTTAGTTAAAACTCTTATTTGTGCTTTCCTCTGTCTGGTTTAGCATGAATTTACATTGTAAAATGCTGGCATTGTACCTGAATTTCAGAGCTCTGCTAACAGTGCTATCCAGCATGGCTGCCCATAACCTTCTGAGCTCAGAGGATTATGGGCATCTAATGGAAGGTGGGAGGAATGCTGATGTGAGGGCCACATCAGCATTCCTCCTGGCCTCCAAAACACTTAAGAAAGTGCATTCCACTAATCTCACAGGGGGCTCAGGCACCTCTGAGATTCCTCATTGTCTGGCAGAGTCTTGCTCCTCATCTCCCTGCTCCAGAGTCGCACATGCCACTTCAAAGGCAAAGCCAGCGCCAGCACGGAAAGAACACTCCTGCTGTGAGGTTAGAGGGAGGGCACTCTGGATTTGGGGTCCCAGCTCCAGCTTCAGAGCTGTTCTCTGAGACTGGAGCTGTGGTTCCCAATTTTCCCAAAGCCATTTGGACATCTAACAGCCAGATGCTTTTGCCCTAAGTGACTAATACCTTAATAAGAATATAAAATTTATCTCGAAATGCTAGAACACTTGCCAGTCACTTGCCTGTTTGATTTTCTCAGGAATGTTGGAGACTGTAAATCCATAGAGCCGCGTGATTCCAGGAAACACATGTGCAAGGATACGCCTGTCTAACTGGAAGGCGATCTCTCCCACTATGCGCCCATTTCTCTTGCTGTTTTGAGCAATCTCTATATCTATAGTGTAAGGAAAAATAGAAACATGTAATACTTTATATCAGCTAGGAAAGATTAAGAATACTTCTATTAAAAGAGGTTGCTTCTGATATATGGTGGTTTAGATGCTAATCATTTCCATGCATCATTACGCGCACACACACATACACACCCCTTGGGCTACTTATAGAGAGAATCCCCGGGTTATGGGGCAGCCTAAAAGTATAATGAAATGAATAAATAATACTGAACTCATTTCTTGAAGGGTCGGTAGGGATGTGTGAGGAATCTTTGAGGTGGGTATCCAGAAAATTCCCTGGACTCTGATCTGCTTTGTCACAGCCCTGCGTCCAAGCTCCTGGTGGGTGTGCCCTGTGACTGCACAGCACTTTCCAGGAGAAGAGACTTTGTTTGTGTTGATGCACCTGTTGCCAGTTGCACAACCCTTTTTCAATGAATATTTGCAGGCTCTCTTTGTAAGACTGGGCCAGGCAGGAGCGGTAAGTCTGCAAATGCTAGAGGGATGGATTCCACTGAGTTCCACCCCAACCCTAGTTTTAGCCAAAAGGGCACAATACCCACACAAGAGGGAGTTATTACTCCAGCAGGATCTGTGGAAGCTCCTAAAATTCTTTCCCAAACAGGGAATGGACACAAAATGGCCCAGTAAAGACAATGGATGCTCAGTGGACAGGAAAAACGGACTGACTGCCGACAGGCGAAAAATAGAGGACTGGGTGGGACTAGGAATATAATGCAAAGGAGAGCATGGCTGACATGCTGGGTGGAACATAACACAGGAGCACTCCGTACCACGACAGTTGGGTGCTGGTCCCATTTGTATTCCTAAAACCCCAGACTCTAAGACCATTCCAGGTGCATGATCCATCCATGTCCCATCCAGCCAGCCCAATGAACTTTGCTGCACCTCTTTAACCAACAGGCATTTAGGAGACTGCCTTTGACAAGCACTATCCTTTGGATAGCCTTTGGGGCTGGTCTTTATGGTGTGGTATAGTCTTCCCCCACCTTTATTTTAATAGATTATATGCCTACAAAGCCATTCTTAGGGCCAAACTGATGTCCTAAACTGCACAGATCTTCCTTTGAGTGTAGTTGTGCCCTTACCAGAATGACAGACCCAAACGAGATAGGGACCTCCATGGGGTGCGGTGGGGGTGGGGGTGGGACTCAGGACTACAACTCTCCGTGGGCCAGATGACCAAGTGGGGTTGGCTGAGCCCACTGGGGTCACCTGTCTCTGCCCCATGTCAGCTTTTCTCTGTGCTGACAGACACGGTATCCCCACGGAGGAGCTGTGCTCAGTGGCTTTTTCAGTGCTGAGAAGAGAAGCTGCTTTCCCTCGTGCTGCCAGGTCCAGAGGAACGTGTGGGTGCCAGCGCTCCTCCGCAACTGCCAGTCTGAGGAGAAAAGCTGGCCGCGTCTTCTGCAACCCACCTCCCCACGGTCCCGTGTGCAGTCAGATCAGAAGGGGCAGTGGGATTCCCACGCGAGCCACACCCCCTCTCAGTGGCAGCACACAATACAGAGCATTCCCTGTAGCAGAGTGAATTCCCTCCCTGAAGAAACTCCACAGGCTCCATGGGCCGAATTGTGGAGTCCAGACGGTTGGATCAGGCCTGCAAAATGCAGCTTCTGTTCCTCATTTTTCGAGCATTTTTCATACTACGGACCCTAGTCCAGACGAAGGGAACCGTGCCTGCTTTTTGAATTACAAGGAAGGTCGGGGCAGGTTTCAATGGACCTTGTTCGCGTTGCAAAATGCACACGTGGTTTTCCAACTCCGATGGGGACTCCTCACTCTAGGATTCCAAACTGGATTGGTGCCCCCATACTCCAAATGTGTGTGTGGAGGAAACTACACATGAGAAGGATTACACAAAAGGGCATTGTTTGACCCTTATTTCTTATGGCCTCTTTTATTATCATTTGATTTCCTTTGATCTGCCTGAGGGACAGAACTACTAATACGTGGGGTGGGGCGGGGACTCATAAATCAAAGACAAGCAGGACAAAGGATCAAGGAACTTGCTGTAGAAGGCATCACATTCCCTATAAATAATAACACTGACTGGGGTGTTGAACAGCAGTATGCAAGATTAATTTATTTGTCTAGACCAGTTTTGTTTTAAATCCTCACAACTGTATGCAAAGGAGTGAGAGAGTGTTCTGCCAAAGGTCACTTTGTCATCTGGATAAATGAACAGAGACTTGAAGCCAGTCCAAATGCTCCATAGTGAGTCTTTCCATTATAATGACCACTTGTCCAAAAATGGATGCTGAGCTGTTTCCTCCTGGCTATTTTTTTCTGCAACACCAAATGCTCCCTGCAGCTATTTTTCACTTCACGGGTTTCAGGCACATGCATGAGCATATGACCCTGCAGGATGGAAAGCACCTGGCTAAAGGGTGTTCCTCAGAACTATTTTTATTAATGAGAAGGCCCTGCTCTTAGTAGCTACCAATCAAATGTCAGCCAGGGGTAGACAGTGTTGTGAGCAGGTCTCTTCCTATTTTCCTCCCCAGCAGACCCAGATGATTCAATGAAGCACAGTTCTTTCATTAAAATTCAGCAGGTTAAAGAATAGTATAAATCAAAGTAGCATACTTCTTGAGATATGGGAGAAGTTTCTGCCCATGAAAAGAGTTGAATGCAAACTGAGACCTCCCCTTCTTCCCTCCTTTTTAGAAAACCTTCTAAAGCTCTGGCTGCTTGAGGGCTAGATGTCAGGAATGCCAGATACTCTGCAATTGTCCATGTCAGTGTCTGAGACATGGGCAGCAAGGGCCTAGACCAGGGACCAGCAACCTGCAGCTCCGGAGCCACACGTGGCTCTTGAATTCCTCTGCTGTGGCTCCGTTGCTCAAAACACGCGCTGGCACAGCCACCAATCTGCGGCCGAGGCTCCAAGTTACAAAATACCAATTGGTGATGATGAGGCATCCACTCAGGAGCGCTGCGCTAGCTAGCGGGTTAAGTAAATTGCGACATTGGAGGGAAAGAGTGGAACAAGCTTCCTGCAGGTTCTCATGTTACATGAAAGGCTGCTGAAAATATTTTCTTTGTCCTAATGTAATCGCCTTCCTCTGAATAATAAAAGCTGCACTTGGGACCTGTCACAATTCACATCACTTGACTGTTTGTCTGCTAATCAGTCACTAAACACACCTATATCTGCGACTTCCCCACCCCACCCCGTAGGCCAACCATGGATAAATGGAAGAAAGTTTCTGAAGAAAACCAAACATTTAATGATAAGTGGGTAGATTCATTTGCTTTTACTGCTAATGAACTTATGGGGTTTGCTGTTTATGGGGTTTGCTGCAGCCCTTTAGCACTGACTTTGACTGTGCAGGAAGCTGTTCTCCTATTCAAAATATTTATTAATTTATTTATTAAGACATTTTTATGCCGTCCCATTCGCCGAAGCCTTGGGGCAGCTTACAACAATAAATGAAAATATATGAAAGGAGTCCTACTAGTTTATAACGTAAGATTAAAAATAACAGTTTTTAGTGACTGAACAAGAGCTGCAGCTAAATCATAATGAAGATATACATAGCATTAAGGTAAAAAACGATATATGCAGTGTTATCTTCATTTTAGATGTCAAAAGGGTTTTGTGGCTCCCGGTGTTTTCTTCTGTGTGGGAAACGGGTCCAAATGGCTCTTTGAGTGTTAAAGGTTGCCGACCCCTGGCCTAGCCTGAGACACTAGGACCAGGGCAACAGGGCTCAAGACAAGACAGGGTCAAAACACATAAGGCCAGTAGTGGTCAAAGCAGGGTCATCATCAAGAAACGGGCCTGATCAAGGACCAAGGGGACAAAGCAAGGGCATGGCCATGAACAAGTCAGTGGCTGAGAACCAGGAAGATAAGAGCAAGGAGCAGGCACCTGAGGAAGGATAACTGGACAGGATTCAGCGAAGGTGGGGAAACCAAGGCAAGGTAGGAAGGCGGCAAGGCAAGACAAGGCATCAAGGCATAATGGAGCAAGGTATGGCAGGAACTAGATCAGGCAATATACAGAAGCTGGAATGCACTGCAGCCAGCAGGAAGACCTGCACTGCTGAGGTGAGATAGCAAGGCACAGTGATACAGCAAGGTCAGGAAAGATGCAGGAGCTGAACCACCCCACAGCTAGCAGGACAACCTGCATAGGTAAGGCAAGACTACCAGGCAGGATGCAGTAAGAAAGACAGAACAGGAACCAAAACTGGCAAGATGCAGCAACAGAAATACACCACAGCAGACCAGTGCTGCTGAGGCAAAAGAGCAAGGCACAATGCTACAGGCAAGATGCAGGAGCTGAACTACACCACAGCTAACAGGAAAATTTGCATTGCTGAGGCAGCCTCTGGAGAGAAGAGCTTCTTAAGAGCTTCTTCTTATATAGCTTTTCCCCAGATTTCCCAGCTGGCATTCATCAAGAAGCTGAGAGCTCCAGCAGAGCCTGGGCTCAATCCTGCAATTACAACAGTGGCCATTTTGGTATTGGCCACCAAATGAATCCCTGGAGCTGCTCGAATCCTGACAAACTGCTCACTTCACCTGCCATCTCTTTACAGGATCTAAGAACTCCCCCTCAGTCTCCCCCACCCAATTTTGAAATGTCTCCCACCTTTTCCAAGGAAAGCTGGTTCTCAGAGGATCTGTACTAGGCAGCCTTGAAACTTTCCAAGTCACCTGCCTCCTCCGCCTTTCCACTTCTTCCTCAGGCAAATCTATCTCAGACTGTAATATCTAAGGCTACAACTAGTGGAATAGGACCTCAGGGGTTGCATGAAGAACACAAGTAAGTACATATGGGAGAAGGTGGTCTTTAAAGAACCATCTTAAAGAACTGGGGCTTTAACCTGAGAATGAGCTTCCCCACCCCTGCTTTTAGTGTATTTAGAAGGCACAGAGCATCACTTCAGAACAGTTCCTTGGGCCTCTGATTAGCCAAACAAAAGCAAAACAAAATCCCCCACAAGATTTGCTATGCCTCATCTGGTTGGACCGTACTTATGTTCTTACAAACCAATGTTTTTAGGCACATACAGGACCGGACAGAGTGCATTCAGATTCTCCTTCATACCACAGAGATCCAAAGGACCCCCTTATCTGAGTAGAGAACATTTACATTTATCATAGAGGGTTTTTTTCCATCTTATAACATTTTCAGCACCAATCACTAGCAACATCTCAGTATTACCATTTAAGTGGAATGTATGAAACTTCCTCAACTTGTCTGCGGCTGGAGCATCTGAAAACCAGACTTTCTTCTTCCTAGGCATTTCTTGGAATTCGAGCTGCGTTTTGTCTGTGCTTGAATCCTGGGCACCGCATAAAAGATGATAGGCCTTCATTTCAGAAATCCCTGGGGAGGAGGAACTTCCTTTGAGGTTTTTGTGGTCATTCAAAAATGTGGTCTGTGCCTGGACTTCCTCCTTGTTTGACACACTGGTAGGGCTTGAGGAATTTAATTCTTCTGGCCATGTTGATGAATGACTTGGCATGTCTTTTGAACTGAGCAGTCTTCCTGCCTTATAGGGAGCTACAACAAAGTACACTGGGTTACTTAAAAAAAAAAAAGGCACGTCAAGAAACTACTGCCCACATACATTTGTTCTTGAAAAATGTGTGATAATTGCAGATACTCATGTATTTTTAAATTATATTTCTATGATGTGAGAATTAACAAATGGACAAGAAAAAGTTGGCTCTGAAAGCCGCAATAGTTGCAAAGAAACATGCTCCAAATTGTCCAAACTCTTTTCAAGCCATCCAAATTGGTGGTCATCAGTACTTCCTGTGGCAGTGAATTCCATAGATCAACTAAGAGCTGTGTCAAGTCCTTCCATTTATCTGTCCGGAATCTCCTACCAAGCAGCTTCATGGGGTGACCCCACTGGCTTTAGAATTAGGGAGAAAAATGTCTCCTTTTCCACTTTCTCTACCCATTGCATAATTTTGAGGACTCCCACCCTGTCTTACTCTGTCTTTATTCATCTTTTTTCTAAGCCAAACCATCTTAGGAACCAGCACAATAAACAATATAAAAGTGTTATTTTTATGGGTTTATAGGTTTGTTGTGTTGCTTCAGTGCAATGAAGATCTTACTGTTCTTGCTGTAGTCGAATGTACAGCTGACTGTAGTTGATTTAATATGGATGCTTATTTAGACATGTGGACATCTCATATTCACACATATTTGAAACAGAAGTGACAACAAGATGGGCCCTTGCTCTGATCCAGCCTGGCTGTTCCCATGTTCTTAGGCTCTAAAGTTATGAGTGACCCACAGAACCAGATGTGATATGGTTCTTATTAGCTTCTTGGTTTATCTCTGGGCCTGCTGGCCTTGATGTTTCAGCTAAGAATTCCATCCCACCTCTTTTTCTAGTTCAGATTCAGAATCTGAGGCAACAACTTTGGAAGGCTGTATTTCAGGAGAGCGGTTACAAAGTTTGAGGCTTTTGCTTAGGAAAATGGCAAGTAATGGGATGTGTGTGCTAGATAAAGAGGTATTTTTCTCCTGTCATAAAACCAGATCCTGAGGTCATCCCATGAAGCTGACTAGTGGGAGCTAGAAGTGCTTTTTCTCACAGCATGTCTTTAAATTGTACAATTTGGTACTGAAAGATGCAGTGATGACTGCCAATTTGTATGGTTTTTAAACCAGTAATGGCTGTTAATCATGACATTATTCTTGATACTACTTCCGGTACCAAAGGCAGTATGCCTATGCACACCCATTACTGAAAGCCATGAGCAGGAAGTGCTTCTCCACTCAAGTGCTGTTTCTGGGCATCTGGCTGGCCACTGTAAGAGCAAACTGCTGGCCCAGAGCCTTGCTCTGACTCAACACTAAGTCTTCATGCTTTTATACTCAAACAAGAGATGGAAAATAAGGGGATGGAATGGAGAATTCACTGTTAGGCATAGGTCAGCTATTACTCCTTCACCATGAACTCAACCTGCTCAGTTTGCATAGAACTAAAAATCATGTGAGTTGTTGCAACATTCAGAAATGGCACCTTCTGCACATCATGAACCAAAAGAAATCTCCTGACCATGACTGAGATTCCTCAGGCACTGGAGAAAAAAGGCTGACAAGAACCTTGCTGTCATTTGGCTCAGATATAAGTTCTTATGCACAGTGATGATTAAAAGTATGCCTATGTCTCTTCTCAGGTGTGCGGAGGATTAAATTTGAATGTGATCAAATGCTCCTGAGAAAAAGCTTAGGACAATATTTAGTGGAGGTGTTGGGCATTTGCCAATTCTGTGGCACCCCCTTGATTCTGTTTCTAGCAAGAAAATCTTTGTGCAACCACTTGTACAACAAAGATTTAGGGTTTCCAGGAAGAACCAGAAAGTAGTAGAAATGCTCATTTCTGGAAGAAGCAGGACAGCAGATCTCAAATAACAGAGCTCCATTTGCCTGTCCTAATACAGAAATGAGTATTTCTGGTCCTTTCTGAGCTTTCTTGAGGGCTTTCTTTCACGTGAATATTGCAGTCTGTCCCCACCACCACATAGATAATATCAGGCGACCATTTCTCACCAATGTTAAGTGCTAATGGAGTTTGAGCTTTATCACCTCCAGGGAAAGGGCCATCTGTTAACCAAGTTTTCTTAAGCGTAGAGACATCTGTAGCTTCAAGCTGTTTTCCTCCAATGGTAGAACATGACATGCTCGACAAGTGCATGGATTTTTTTTCCCCACTTCTGGGCTGAAAAGGGTGTGCATCCTTGTGCAGCAGCTTAACCTGTGCCTGGGCACTGGGGCAGGACAAAGCTGTGGTTTCCTTGGGGATGATGTGTGGACAATAACTGGCATCTTCTCTTCCAGTGTACGGACCTGCTGCAGCAACAAGAAACATACAGTATTACCAGCTACTCTGAGGAACACCACTAGCATGTTTGCATTTGACAGGAGCCTAAGAAGCAATTCTAACATTTAGTTTGGTACGATAGTCTCCTAAAATTATCAGCCTAGTTCCTGCAACTGCTCAACAAAATTTATTTATTAAATGCCCTGTGGTACAAGTCTTAACCTCAAGTCAAAAAATATATTAAAGGTGGTACCAGGCAGGTCTCAGCCCATACTGAACCTCTGTTGGAGGGGCAACAAGAGGCAGGCCTCAGTTCTTGATCTGGATATATTGTGGTTGGAAGCAGCTTCCATCAGGTATAGTGGTCCCAAGCCAGATAGCACTTAGTAAAGGGTTAAAACCTATTGGGAACCTGATGCGTATTTGATTATATAGTACATACCTGGATGGCCGGCAGTAAGCCCAGTCAGGCTGGTCATGTCCCAAGCATTGTCAACATAAATCGGAGCATTACAAATTGCCCAGCAAAAGCTCCCAGCCCATCCTCCAGGCAGCCCAGCCTCAGAGGTAAGCATGGGAACCATTTGTATTCAAATGTGCCAGGCAGCATTCACAGCAGGAATGTCAACCCAATAAGCAACTGTCATCACTACCTGGCCAGCAGGGGTATAAAAGGGGGCTCTGCCATGTGCTTGGGGTTGATTGTCAATTTGCTGTGATCAAAATTTATTCCTGAGAATAAAAAAGCAGTTTTTTCACTCTCACTCATGTCATGCTTAATTAGGCAGAGTGCCCCAGTTCTGGATCCCTTGAGTCCTTCCATTTGGTGACCATGCAGGGACTAAGGATGCCGATCTTGATCTTGGCGGCCAGGAAAAACCATGAGAGCCTCCTCTGCAGCACTGACTCAGCTTGCATCAGACTGTTTGCCCGTCAGGACCCTCCTGAGAGTGGGGAGGATTCAATCCGAAGCAGCCCTAAGCCACAACACCCACCGCATGAGAGAATCGAGGGTTCTAGCCATTCAACAACCAGTTGCTGAGGCACTGCACCTTCTGCCCGCAGAGGGCGCAAGAAAAGACAGTTAGGAGAGCTCTCAGTGTAACTGGAAGACAGCTGGGATAGCTGTCATCAGGAGTAGGTTGCTGCGGCCGGGAAGGCTGTGCCCATGGGACCCAGGAAGGACTCTCTGTAAGGCTGAGTCTGGCAAGAAGCTAAGCTGTTTGGCAGGATGGGTCAGGGTCGCAGTAAGAGGGACCCCTTTGGCTTAAGTGTACCAGGAGTTTAAAGCACTGGGAGGGGGAGGTGACTATCTCTGCAAAAAGAAGTCGATGCCCTCAGTCTCCCAGACCTGTGAAAGCTGCACTGCCTGTATGTACATGAGCAAAGAGGGGCGGCATTGGGAGTTCTAACCCAGCTCTTTGGACGAGCACAATGGCCAGTGGCCTCCTGCTTCTGGCTAATGAACCTAGTGCAGGGGTGGCTGGCTTGCCTCTGGATTGTGACTGGTGTGGCCCTCCTGGCAAGGAGAACCTGAAACTCCCCATGGGTCAGTCTATGGGGATCTCTGCCCCACATGCCATCCAAACCATCCTTCAGCAGTTGGGCAGGAACTGAATGACCCAGAGCCATATAAGGCAGTGCCAAGTCCTCCTACTAGAAAACCCAGAGATCAGCTGGAAGACCTGCGGGACTCTGAACCCTGCCACCCTGTTGCCCGATACACCTGATGACTCACCAGAGCACACATGCACTGAAGTGCTAGACTGAGCCTGCACCCAGAGGGCAGACCTGTGTGACACTCCTTTGGAAGACCCTGACAAAGGTCTGTTTGAGGATGGGTCCAGCAGAATTCTGAATGGCTGCAGAGTGACTGGATATGCAGTGAGGACCGAATATGAGACTGCCGAAGCAGAACCTCTGCACAACCCCTAAGTCTGTCGGTCCAGCAAGCAAGGCGTGTTGCCATTACATGAACCCTCCAGCTGACAAAAGGGCAGTGAACCAACATCTACACCAACTTTAAGTATTGCTTCAGGGGCATCCATGCCTTTGGCACCATCTGGAAGAAGTAGTGATTCCTCCCATCGGAGCAAAGATCAAGAACAGACCTCAGAAGCTGGAGCTCCTAGATACAGTGCTACTCCCATTAGAGATGGCAATTATCCAGCGTAAAGGGCACCAGAAAGGATCCAGCATGGAAGACCAAGGCAACTGAAGGGCAGACCTGGCATCCAAAGTTGCAGCATCCCAATGTGCCATGGAGGGAGCCCTCATGCTCATTGTCGGAACAGCCAGCCAGGGAGAGCCTGTCTACTCAAATGAAGAGCAGCAAAAAGTCAAAGAACTCAAGTGCACCAAAGAAGATGCACCTACCAGATGGGATGCTGAATGGCCCAAAAGCTAGAGTAGAAGCTAAAAAGTAGCATCAAAGCACCTGACAAGGAGGAACCGCCATGGGAAATGCCCTTCTCAGATGGCCCATGTGCCCAGGACTCTACCAGATCTGCCAACAAGTAGCTTCAGCCAGCGCCCTTTGCCAGTGAAACAACCACAGGAGAAGGAAGAAGTTTGCAGCAATAATGCAACCATACTTGTCCTTGGCTTGCAAACATACTTGGACCCCCACTGACCCCTGGGTAGCTAATGACTGCCACTGCTGCCCAAAAAAACCTTCAACCCTGACCTTGATGCTGTAGGGTGCGCCCTGGGCAGAAATATCACCAAACTGACTCCAGTGGCTCCTAGTCCCTACGCTGAGGATAAGCCTCACTTGTTCAATGATTCCACCACCTACAAGGGCTGGTTCAGCAATGGGGCAGAGGCAAAGATGGGATATTACTTTGTATGTGGCACAAAGCCTACAAGAATCTTCCCCCACAATGGCATGGCTTCTGCTCTTTAGCTATCTTGTACCCACCCTTTTCCATACATGCCAGCTTCAAAAACATTCTCATGCCAGTTCTCCATAGGAAAAGTCACAGTGCCAAGGAGCTCATCAAAAAGATTCAGGAAATTGGGCCATACACCATGGAAAAGCACCCAAACTTCCTCCATCCCTATGTATGGTAGCCTAAAGAACTCCTGATCAATCCTCAGCCTTCACTACCAAATAATCTTGGAATGAAACTGGGAAGGGTTCCTGTATGTGAGTCAGCAGCTGGACCAGATGCATGAAATGGTGCTCCAAAATAAGATGGCCCCGAATTACCTTTTGCAATGGATGGGTAATGTGTGTGGCTTTCTCCAACAGACATTGGCATACTGCCACAAAATAGAAGACCACAGCAAGCTAGTGACACAGATTGGGCACCAAATCCTAGACATTCCCCATATGGCTCCCCCAGACACAGGAGTGGGAGGTTGGTGGCCTTGGCTGTGGTCCTGGCTGCTCAACCATGGTTGGGCAGCCCATAGCGTCAAGGGAGCCCTGATGGTGTTGGCATGCCTAGCCATCACCTGCCGTGGATTGCAGTGCCTGCCACTGCTAGACAGGATGTGCAAAGTGCACACCACAAGATGCAGAGACCATCCTTCCTTTAGAGAGATGCAGAAACGTAGCAACAGAATTGGATATACCTCTTAAGGTGAGTTTGGAAGAAGCTGAAACTCTTTAGAGTCAAGGGGAGAATTGTAGGAGATATCTGGCTGGCCAACATTAAGCCCAGGCAGCCTGGTAACGTCCCAGTCCTTGCCACCATAAATCCAAGCTTTACAAATGACCAAGGATTGAGCAATCTTCTGCCTAAAGTTCCCAGGAAGTGCAAAACCCACTTGTATTCAAATATGCCAATCAACCTTGAGTCCTTCAGTTATATGCAGGTTCAGCAGAGGTAAGCACTAAATAGCAGACTTATTTAAGAGCCTATTGCTTGCATTTGGATCTATTAAAGTCCACACTGAGAGGCTTTTTAACAAAAGTAAAATTCATTTGTCTATTTACTTACAAACAATCCATATGTGACTTGCATGAAGGCCAGATGTTGGTATTTTCATTCAGGATACCTTACTTCATTGTTAACGGGTTCGTTTAAAGGTCTCTCTCTCCTCTTCCCTTTGTTTAAAGGGAAGAGGAGAGAGCAGCCCACGCCACCTTCTCTGCGGTGGCGCCCCACCTCTGGAATGCACTCCCCAGAGAGGTCTGCCTGGCGCCGTCGTTATTTGTTTTTCGGCACCAGGCCATGACCTTTTTATTTAAAAGTTATTTTAATTGTTAATTGTAAACTGTATTTATTTATTGGTTTTTATATTTATGCCGAGATGTCTCCGGATTTTTAAGGTTAGTTGTATGATTGTTTATTTATTTGTTTTGTAAGTTATCCCGAGGCTTTTTGTGAATGGGGCAGCATAGAAATGTTCTAAATAAATAAATAATACTTCTTCTCTGAAGGTAGGGGTGTGTGTGGGTGGGGTGGTCATGTGAACGTTTGCCTTTCCAGGTGAGGTGGGAGAGCTGAAGAGACAGAAAGGGCATAGCTCAAGCAGAGAGATCAGCCTCATTTTGTCTATGGCATTAATGGCTCCCCCCACTCCACTCTGGTTAATGAACCATGTAGTGCTAATGCAAAGCAATGCTACATATACCTACCAAAACCAGTACCTTGAATTGGAACCAGAAGCATATAGGCAGCCAATGCAAGTGGGTCAGAATTGGTGTTATGTGTTTGGACTGCCTGGTCCCTGTTATCAACTTGGCTGCTGCATTTTGCACAAGGTGCATCTTCTAAACAACCTTCAAAGGCTAGTCTCAGTCCGTTCCTAGCTTTTGCCTTCCTGACACCATCCCTGCAATTCAGTGTTATCTGCCCGTATTCTTCCTTTGCAGCCTGGCCTTCCTTCCACTTCCTATATAGGTCCTTTTTGTTTTCAGATCATCTCTAAGCATTTTGTGAAGCCACCTGGGCTTCCTCTGTTGTCTTCTACTCTTTTTCCTTGGAATTGTTCATAACTGTGCTTTTACAATATCCCTTTTTAAAAAGTTCCCATCTATCTTGGGACTCCTTTTCTCATTAGAGTTACTTGCCGT